CTTGAATTGCTATATATTATAGGATAAACATGATAGTTTTCAGTAATATTATTTAATTCAGATCATCCCTTGAACTAGTGGGATTAGTTCCTTTAATTAAATAGTTATGCTATGTGAGAGTAATTTTGTATTGTAGGGGTATCATTACCTTTAAAGATATTGATGATAATTTACATAATAGAATATAAAAAATAGAGTTAAATTAACAGGATTATAGTTTGTTATCTGTTGTCAACAATCAGTCGAGATAGTAGCCTCAGGCAGATTGGGTTGACTTGTACTAGGTACAAATTTTGACTATTGTTCACCTTCTCAGTATCCCTGATACAACGTGGTAGATCTTGTTAGAGCCAATTCTCATCACAATAACCATAAGATTTCTATCTACTTTGTAATATTTCATACCTTCTTGTTAGCTTTGTCACATCATGGGTTAGAAGTTTTTGGTTCATATTGTTTATGAAATTTATAGTTATGAAGTAATGAGGTTTTAGATATTTTTTAACAAAATGGACAGAAGAGATATATCAGGAATAGAGAAGTGGGAGGACAATTTGGTGAAAATTTGCAAAAATTCCTTTTAAATGGTGCAGTGCAACGATTCAGGGTTTAGATATTTGAGATCTAATTGAGACAAATAAGGTCGCATGGCTAAATTTTTGGAAAATAATAATGATTTCGATTAATTGAAGAAAACAAAATGGCATATTCCCTCTTGGTATTCCAAAATTTTTACAACTTTGAAATCTTTAGCAAATGTCAGCCACAAACTTCACGGAATGTTCGAAAATATCAAACCTCTAATGATTCTGTTCTAATCTCAGAACCATAACGTTCAAAAAATTATAAGTGCACTTCATGTAAAGAAGTTAGGAAAAACTGGCTTTCTTATGAAAACAGTCAAAATTGTCTCTTTTCATGAAGAGTATGTTTATTTTAGTGAACCTTAAACAGAACTAGAAACTGCATTTAAAGAAAGGTGTTCTATTCCTAAACATACAAACTTTTTACCAATGTTTTCTTAGTGCACTTTATGTGTAAAGAATGTTACTCTCTAATAAAGAAGTCTCAAAACCTGATTTCTGTCTCTTTTAAAACAAAATACTCTCATGGCTGAAATTCTAAATTAGAAACTTCTTGCTTTTTGGTAAAATTCAGCGTAACAGTCCCCAAAAATAGCAGTTTTGCTAAAACTAAACAGTTCTGCTACTGTGTTTCAATAACTCGTGTGACACTAAACTGCTTGCGAAATTGTATCTTAACGGTACACATCTTTAGTTGATGTCAAAAGTGTAGAGTTGCATATTCTCTAAAATGGTCAGTATGTGTTTATTTGATTGATTCTAGAATTGAAGTCAAATCTGTGGATTGTTTCATGTTTCAGGAAAAAATTCACATATTTTGATTGTCATAATTAATTCTATTGTATCAAAATGTTCATTTTTCAGAGTGTCTTATTGCCTTAGAATGGATTCAAGGATGAAGAATCTTTTTGATTGTCACTGGGCATTATAAGCAAAATGTATTAAATTCCAGCAATTTTTGATACCTCCTTGTTAAAAGGGTGATGTTTATTTATTTTTGATGTGATATCAAGGTAACAATAGAGGTGTTGGATACACGACCTTCTGAGTCAATGTTACCATGGATACTGTCAAAGACTAAAGTGTAATAGGTAAATAGAAATGTCTCCCAAATTGTATAGGGTACTGCTAATGGAAATGGCCACGCCAGCAAATTTCCACCACATTTAATCAATGTGCCAAGTCGTACCTGTCACACTTTATCATTGTAAAGCTGTATTCATGAACTAAATATAAAGACTGAGTCTGGTGATAAAGATGTAAGTTTCTTCATAAAGTATATTGATAATTAAATACAAATCAAAATGATTTTCAGTCATGCAGACTACAAATTAATCATTTTGAAGTTAACCATTTTTTAAATTCAAGTTTTCCGTATTTTCCTTGCTTTGATTAGCTGGTGTATGAGCCCTCCCTGTACTGTTTGAAGTTTGTTTAAATATTGAAACTAAGATTTGAATGATTGAGTCAATATTTGGAAAGAATTGCACTCCTCTATATAACATGTCATATTTCAATTTTATCGTAGGCATTATTAATCATTTTATAAAGTTTGTCTTTTTATGATCTTTGGACGTTGGATCAAATAGGCGTGGCTCTGTCTTTTTATGATTTATAGTTTATCTTGAAATAGTACTAGTATCCTCTAGTTTCCCTTGGTTTCCCTTGGTTTCCCTTGGTTTCCCTTGGTTTCCCTTGGTTTCCCTTGGTTTCCCTTGGTTCAAACTGCCACTGCCACTGTGGAAGCAAATTAGACAAAAACTAAGATAAACTAGAACTGATTGAATAAGAGACTTAGAATGGAAAATCAGCAACAGTGATTGAAAATTCATGAAACTGGCCCTGGAAAAGAACAGAATCGTAGTATTTAGAATAAGTAATGTAATGCTTCTTAAAAGTACAATGTATAAAATATATCTTAAAAAAAAACAGTCCTCAAATGAAAATTGTGGAGAAAAAAAAAAACCACCACAACTATTTTAGGCCATTCAAGATAAAGTATTTTCACATTTAGTTCCAGAACTCTCTGATCAGTTCTCTACATCATACATTTTCTTTTATCAAATTTATTGTTATACTTCCTTATACATGTACTTAAAATTATTTTAATAGTGGTTTTGATTGATTAGTGTTAATCATGATATTCTTGGGTATGATAATAGTTTTATTGAATACAATTTAATGAACAATTTCATCAGATCATTGATGGCAAATGTTTTAAGCTGCAGAATTTTTTTTTTTTTTGTATACTGCCAGATTTCAAAATGTCATATTATGTAGGGACATCTGCTACAGAAGTTGTGAATTTAAATTTATGATGATAGGATTTTCGGGCTAGTAGATTTCAATAACTCAACCCATATTGACAAATATTGTTTTCATAAAGATTGTCTTTATTTATTTAGTTCATCTCCTTCTATAAGATTTTGTGTACATTTAACGTTAGCCAAATATCACCGTAATTCGTACGACTGTGTACCTTTGTTATTTTATTGTATTCATTTCTGTGACACACGCTGCTTTTTTCCCAAAGTTTTTACATACCCCCTTTTATATCTCAACACACTTTTAGTCTGTGCCCCCTTTTGATATAAATGTTTGGCTGTTTTCCATGTATTCAATAATGCCTCGCAGGTTGAAGGGGTAAGGAAAGTCTTGGATTAAAGATGTTCGAATTTGTGCCGATTTGAATATCTAAATTGGAGTGTAGGGATGTAGTCAATGGGAATTTGGATGTAAGAAATGAGAAGAGTGATTAATATGTCAGGATTTATATGAAGAAATGAAACTTTGAATGTGAGAAATGAAAACCGTGATTCGAAAGTGGGAATTTGTGTGGATATTTAGCTTCTGAGAATACTAATAAAAGAAAAAGGAATATGAAAGATATATTGTTTTTGAGTTTAGATGAGGCTACAGGGCAAAATCTGTATATTGTGATTCAATTATCAGTTAACACAAAATGGATTTTTCCAACTTAAGCCATTACTGTCAGCTTTTGTGTCAAAATCATAACTTTATCCCTTACCAATTTATCCATAAGCATGCAAACAAAAATGTTTATCTAAATACAGACTGTAACAGACTGTAACAGGGTGAAGAAGAAAAATGAGACCAGTTGTGTTGAACTTAACTTTGAAATGCTGACAGATCTTGATAATCTTCATTTTATAATTCCAGACCCTTACCAGACAGTCCACCAGATTCTGGTAGTGAACCATATTCACCTCATGATGGTCACAGTCAACCACATATGGGTAAGTTTTATAACAAGTGTGATGCTGAATGTGATATTGTGTACTTTTTTCTATTGTCAGTGAGAAAAATACAAAGGGACATGTTAAGTTAATCTATCAATATCAGTTGCGTATACTTTTCAAAATCCACACTTTTAGGAATAAATTATTATATACAATGACAAATGTTTTGATAAGTTTAATTTTGTGTGTATTGTTTTTGGAATAAGTATATTTAGGCTTTTAAAAATAGTTGATAAAAAAGAAATTCACTATCAAATTCTTTCAATTAAAGCCATTTTAATAATAATGTTTTTTTTTTAGTTTGTGGAAAAGTTTCTGAACTATTTGTTATGTTTTTTTTTCAGATGGTAAACACAGTATTGGTAATGGTATGACTCCACTACCCCAACACCCTCCAATGTACCCTCAAAATCACAATGGTATGAACATGCCTCTGAAACTTCCAACGTCATATATGAATGAACCACCAAAATTAAATCATTTACCACAGCAACAGCAATTACCACCATCATCAATACATCAAGTCTCACCACCATTAAATCACCAAGTTTTACAATCACCATATGGCATGGGGTGAGTTATCTTACATTATTAAGTTTCAACATACCAGTATACCATATGGCAAAGGATTATAAAAAAGATTCACAAAAGGTTTTCTAGATTTTAGCATTAAATACAGATGGCAAACGTGAAATAGGAATATCAAGTTTTTCACAGTTTTTTTCTTTTTTTGACAGGTTTGCTGAATTTAATCTCCAATCAGAAATACATGAATATATAAACATCAATGAAATATATTTTCTGTTTATTTTCAGACCTATGAATATGAATAATCCTGCCCATAAGAAACGTAAATATACAGATTCACCCAATAATACTATTAATGGTAATATGATGAATAATATGAACAGTTTATTAAGTATTAAACAAGAACCACCTGGTAAGTTTTTCAATCTTGCTGAATTGATTTCACGCTATACACTTATTTAATGTCTTATAATATAGTGGTACATTTATTTTCCATCTGGCTAGATAATCCCTGTCTGACAAAATGAATTTCATCTGAAATCTATAAGCTTTCATCTGTATTGATTTCCATATAAGGTCTTTTGTCTATTGATCTTTAGGCCCAAGTTTTCCAGGAGGTTATGCAGGATTACCAGATTGTTCAGAAGATGATTTCGCGTATGATCTAGATCCTGCTGGAAGTTTTATGGACAGTTCATATCAAGTTATAAAATGGCAGTTATATCAATCTAATAAATGGACGCCACTCACTGACTCAGAACTCAAAGATTTGTAAGTATTGTAGTTCCAATTTCAATACTTTCATGCAAATTCATTAGAATGGCAGACCATATGGAACCTTTTACAATTACAATTGAGGCTGGTGTCTTTTAAATATCATCTGCTCATGGCATTTCTCTCTATTTCAGACCCCAACCCACATTTCGTGTTGATGCAGATAAAGGATTTAATTACTCACCCTCAGATGAATCCTTTGTGTGTCAGAAGAAGAACCATTTTCAAGTCACAGTACATATTGGTATGCATGGTCATGCTAAATATGTCCGAACAACAGAGGGAGTCAAGAAAATAGATAATTTCTGTCTACATTTTAAAGGCATCAAGATGGAGTCACCTACACAAACTATTAAAGTAGAACAATCACAATCAGATCGCAGCAAAAAACCTTTTAATCCTATCAGGTATTTCATCCCATTATGAATCCCATTTATTTCAAATATTTTCAGAACATTCAACATTGATTTCAGAAACTGAGAACAATTATCTTTTGTATCATTTTGCTATAATGCTATAATGACAAATGCTATACCGATTTTTAGCTTTGAGTAAGTTTGTTATTCAGACTAAATTCACTCTACTGCGCAACTATCTTTGTCTTAATGGAATTCATTGAAGCTATAAAGAAGGAGATTTTTTCAAGAAGTATTGATGTATTTCAGAGTTGATTTGGCAGCTGATCAAGTAACAAAGTTCACAGTTGGTAGATTACATTTCTCAGAAACCACAAGTAACAACATGAGAAAGAAAGGAAAACCTAATCCTGATCAGAGATATTTTATGTTAGTGGTATCACTACAAGCCCATTGTGGTAATACTGATTATATGGTAGCTGCTAGTAACTGTGAACGTATTATTGTTAGGGTACGTTCTTATTTTAATTTTTATGAGGCTTTCCTTTATGACAGGTAATTGACTTCATTATAACACGTTTTCAGTATGACATGACTGTGTAGCATTATGACTGCATTCTGAATCAGTTCACATTAGGAATTAGGCTGCATGGCTACGTTCTGACCACATGCTGACTTCGTCACATTTTGACTACACTCTGACTTATAATTACACTATTCCTTGTAAGAACAGTAACATTTTTTTGATATACACACTTGTTTTTGGTAATATTATAGAACTATATTGTTACAGGCATCAAATCCAGGTCAATTTGACAGTGATGTCGATGTTTTATGGCAGAAGGGACATACTCAAGAATCAGCCTACCATGTGGGTAAGGTAGGGGTCAACACTGACCATCCCGAAGAAGCTTTGACAGTCCATGGTAACATCAGACTGACCGGTCATCTCATGCAACCATCAGATATTAGAGCTAAAGAGAATTTTAAAGAGGTATGTTATGAAACGTTATTTATTGAATCACCAACCTTGTTAAATTATTTATAGTAAAAATGCCTATGTGGAGGTATAGCTTGTTGAAAATGACATAAGAATAACTTACTATAGTGAAACATTGTAGCATTCTGCGGAGCCAGGTTTACGTCTGAAAGGGGGCGGGATATCTGAGATTGCCTGAATCTTTAACTAGTTAACTGTGGCTCTGCCACAGTGTCTGATGTGTTGAAGAGGAGAGTATTTCCAATATACAAACCTTCCAATATCTTTACATCTACAGTATACAGAAGTTCTATTTAGTGAAAAAACACAGTATTTTGTATAATTTCAGATTAATTCTAAAGAACAAAAAGAGAATGTAGAGAGGATTAAGATCTATAAATATAATTATAGTGAAGATTTTGCTGAATCCGCTAATTTACCGCCTAATTTCCGTGAAGATACTGGTGTATTGGCCCAGGAAATACGAGAAGTGTTACCTGATGCTGTACAGGAAACAGGAGATGTTGTATTACCTAATGGTCTTACTATTGATAACTTCCTAGTTGTTGATAAGGTATGTTTCGAAGAAGGCAAACAATTGTTTTTTATCAAACTGAGTGTGATATAGCATAGAAAGCTGACAACATGGCTGTTGGATAAGACTGTTTTTGGGTTTATTTTTTACATAGGTCTTCAGTCCAAGATAAAAATACTTTGTTGGATCTTTTGAGTCTTTAAAAAGTTGAATGTATTCCATCAATATAGAACATAATCATTACATAGAACATCTGGTAGTACTCTTTCAGTGTACACCTTCAGTGTACTTATGTTATTTGTCTGCAAATTTCATCTTTCATCAATACAAACTATATGATCAGTCTTTAGTTGATAGTGTCAATCAATTTATATTCCAGGATCGTATTTTTATGGAGAATGTTGGAGCTGTAAAAGAACTCTGTAAATTAACAGACAATCTAGAAATTAGAATTGATGAATTAGAAACCATGAATACCAAATTATTAAAATTAAAACGTTATGATAGTTTAAAATCTACAGCTAGTAGTAAATCATGTTCGAGTATTAGTACTGTCAGGTAAGTAAACTGAGAGTTATTGCCCTTGTTAATCAATAACATGTTTATTTTTGCTTTATTTGATCTTGGTAACTTAAAGGCATGCAATATGATTTGTGGAAAAGAATAATCAGAGTTATCAAATTATTTGCAGTTTTCTTAAAAACACAATGTTTTCTTATGTTTTTGAATATGAAAATATATAAGGCTGTTTCTATCAAATTTCAGTTCTGCACAACCAAAGAAGAGTTCATCTTCAAAACATCATCATTCCAGTAGTAAACATAGTTGTTCTCGCAGTGCCCCACCTCCACCACAAAATAACATGTGTAGTAATCGTTTTATACAGTTTACAATAGTTACTCTTGTACTTGTCATGGCATTTTGGTAAGTATCTATTGTAGATTATTTTATTATTAATGTGATTGTGGACATCAGGAATCATACACATAATATACCTATGGTTCTAATTTCCCAATGTCAGAGGATCCATAAATTCCAAAAGTCAAATACAAATGTGACGACTTAAGGAATACCAATAACAAATTTTTCAAAATGGACCAAAAATCCTTGATGGATATCTTTCAGATGAAGAAAATGTTCTTGTATGTTATTATTTTGCCTAAACTGACAACTCTAGCCCATCAATTTCTTCATACATCCTGAGACAATGTGATATCTGCAAGGGTGCCCCACCGCATACAGATATCACATCTTCATATCATGACTCAGAAACTTGGTAAAGTCTATGTATTGCCCTACTATGTGCCTGTATCATAATTCCATTGCATTATTTTGTTTATTATATACAGTATTGTGGCAATAACAGTATTGTATATATTAGAACGTCATTCAGAACCTAAACAACAACCTAGTCTACAAGCTACTCATTCACATTTTACAGATCCTCCGTAAGTTTCAATTTACAGTTTCCTTTAACACTAACAGGAATTATTCTGATTCATAACTAAGTTGTCTTGGAATGACTGTCACTATCATCATTATCATGATAAATTTGTGCACATCTGAAGAAAATGCAAAATGTAGACAAAAATTGAATGTCAGTGCTTTTGAACACAATATAATAATATCTTACCTCAAAATAAGATAAACTGTCTTCATATATTGACCACTATCTTTTACCCAACTTTACGCATGAGTAATAATAAAAAAAAAATAACTTCAGGAGTAGGTTAATAACACTTATAACTTTTATCCTATTAATTACAGGGGTCATACAGCTCAAACGTCTGTACATTCTCGGAGAATCAATATTCCATCTAACATTCCAAAACATACAGGAACCACAACTGGTAGACCTCCTGCTGCTAAAACGTCTGCTCCTCATGTCATACCCACAGTTGCACCAAGGGTACATCCTATTATACCACCTTATCCTTCCTGTATCGACAATTGTGAAGAGATATGCTGTAAACCTGTACAGGAAGATCAACCTACTATCATCATCAACAGTAAGTCTTCATCTGCAATCCCAGGTCATCTGGAATCAGAATCCTCATGAGCTCAAGATTTTCTACCAAACAGAGCAATAGGAACATTATATTGTAGGGTATATTCATTCTCTTAAACCTGGAGTTAGAACCAACATAGTTATAGATAGTGCTTCTACTTCTTATACCTGGTTTCTCTTATAGTTGATGTAACAATGTGATGTAAATTCAGATTCACTATACTTTTGCCACATTTTTTAAGCCAGTTTGGAATGCTCAAGCATCAGAACAATTGTTATCAGTAGGGTTTGTTTTTGGCATTATAAAAACAGGAAGTATTCATGATTCATATTAGTCCAATTTTATTTTTTAGATGATCCAACAACCAATACTTCAAAAAATAATGTTACCAATCATAACATGAGATATAGTTCTCAGGTAAAGTCCTTTTTTCATACTCTAATATAATGAGATATAATACCCAGATAATCACTGTCACTCACTTTAATGTTGAAATACATCTGATAGGCACATTTATAGTCAAAGACTGTGAGCAAGCTTTGAATATGCCATTTATCTCCCATGTTAGAAAAGAAAAGTTTATAATCGCTGACAAGAACTAGTACCGGTAGTTACAGGTGCAGCAATATTATTTATGATATTTCTATTGAGTGCTCAGATTGGCTGTGATTTCTAGGGTACAAACAATCAAATAGCTGCATTTACAAACTTCTGTGATACAAGAAAAGTGTCTTATGATGTCATTATGATGCACACAACCTTACATTGAGTGAATCTGGAAATATATGTTATTGTAAATAAAATGCGCAACAAGTTGGCATAATGCAGACACCATAATAGTGAGTGGTGGCATATTTCATGTCTTCTTGTATTTTGTAGACACAGAAACCTACCAGTAGTTATAATACTATAGTTGTAGATCTACCTGTTGATGGGGCATCACCAAAAGTTATTAATAATAATGATAATGTTAATCCTACCTATAGAGTTATTAATAATAATGATCAGAATGTTGTTTACTTTAGAGCTAAACGAGGAGCTGAAAATACTGGTAGGTTTACTTTTATTATAATTCTTTACAGCTTGAGAAAAATTCTGATAACATGGCCAGTACTTCCTTGGGTCTACCCAGTGTTGGGTTTAATCCATATCACATCAATTCAAATATGACATTCCATTTTTTCCATTTCTATTCTGTTTGTATGACTTTCAAATCATTTATTCTGCCATTTTTTCTTAGGATTCAATGCACTGATTACGATAAAGGAATTAAATTTTACTATTGGTGATGAGTATTGTGGTACCGAGACCTGTACAGTATCTAATAAAACCTACGTAGCTGAATTAAGTTCCTACTTCGGTCTACAACCAGTCACTTTACAATTTACGTAAGTCTATATCAAGTTTCACATCAAGATAGGGATTCAGGTGGTTTTGTCAATTAGATTTCAGAGATGACATTTACTGTCATTGGATTGTTAATGTTGTGGATTCGTGTGAAAAATGGCTCTAATGCCAGATGGTAATATGACATTCTAAGAATATCTGATTTAAAAAAAGATAATGGGTTATGTAATATCATTAATTCTAATTGAACATGTTTAGTGTGTGGTATAAATATGTAATGATATTTTAAATTCTAGTTTGAAATCAGAAGGACAAGTTATGATGTGTAACAATAATATGATTGACTCATGTGATAGATCTAACCAAGAATCAGACACAGCTACCCTCTCCAAAACTGTATGTTGATTTTCTTCTGTTTTAGTAATTGTTATTTTAAGAATTTGATAACAATTACTCCCCTCCCTTGGTCAATTGAGCTTAAACCAGTACGTTAAGCTGTGAGAGTATTTTTAATTCTTTAAAATGGGTTTGACAATATACAAGTCAATGTTTCACAATGAATATCTCGGAATTACTCACCTTTAGTAAGGAAATCTTACACAGAACAGTTCATTTAATTGGTTGATTATTCCAGGACCAAGAACAGGAGATACAAATAAATTTCTTCAGATCATCGATGGCAAGTTCTTTCAGAAAACAAACTTGTCTTTACAGTCTTTAAGGATGAGAAATGTAAATTGTGTTTTAATGTTACTTTTAAGGGTCAGGTAACAGAATGGTCTGTAAAAATTGGTAGTTATTCCAAAACTCAGATGAAATTTAGAGTTTCACAAGATGTAAGTATATGTTTTATAAATAGAATTGAAAGATTTCAGAAATAGAGATATAAAATGCTGTATTAATTCAAAACAAATTACACAATTATTCCTGAACATTACCTAAGTCAATCTGGTATCATAGGTGTAGGAGATATAGAACAACAATATCAAACTGTTTCAAACCATGAGATAACTAACTTGGTTATTTATGTTAGTTCCCTTCAGATCTATAACTAATCCAGGGAAAACCAAGTTTGTCAAAGCCTTCTCATACTCATTGTTACTCAAGTAATACAGACTATTGTAATGTGATAATATTTCAGAACAATCCTAATCTATGTACACTGAATCCATCAGAGGCTGATTCATTGAGGTTTATTGAATATAACCTGAACTTTCAAAGAAGAACATGTAATTCAAACAGGGTAGAATAAGACGAAAGTTCATAGTTCATATGTGGTGAAGAATGAAGAGTTGAAGTAGTTCTGAGTGAAGGGTTAGAATAGAAGAATTCTTCACATTTAGTAACTCATTGTTGATATAGTGACAATAAAAGAATTAAGAATTCTTCAAAGTGAAGTAATGCATTGTACATATAGCATATGTTTAGAATAGAAAATAAGTCATGTATTGAACATATAGTAATGAATCACACTCAATATTGTTTTTTAAATCAAATCAGCCATTAGCAACTAGATTCATGTTAATGACTTATAAATTTAAGTTCTTAAACTGATATTTAACTTATGCATTGTTTATTAAGGCTGAATTAATTACTATTTGTTAAGTTATAGATATATAAGTGGCATTCGTCATGGATTCTAAGTAATTATTATTGAGCAACTCAATTGTTAAGTTAAATAAATCAGACTTACCAGTAAGTACTAATGATTATTTATAGTTAAATTAACTTGTCTCAAAGTTAAAAGAGAAGTGTCAGTCTAGCTAGAAATTTGTTGATATATCCCCCAAGGATCAAAGGGTTTTGCATATTTAACAGATGTAAAATGTTATACATATTATAGATTTCTATATTTTACATTTTTGTTTTGTTATTATTATTCCATATCAATTATTATTATTATCATTCATATACCTTGCAATTTCTAATATAAAGCACACTTTTCTAGCTGCCAATTAAATGAATTTAGCATATTGAAATATTCCAAAGTAACATTCCAAAGGATCAAATATACAAACAATTTAAGAAAGATTATTGGCAGGTAGGGAAATAACCAGATGTAGATTTTGTGATCCTCTACAACTCAACCAGATATATTGGTTTATTTTGGAGGAGATTGTGTTTTTCTGGGCTTTCCAGACCTCTCTATTCTTAGATGAATCAAATGATTTTGTTGAGTTGTTGTTCTTAATGCAATTTCTTATTATGTTACAGATATCACACCTTCCAATAATGCTGAGGCACATTTTTTTATTATTTGTAAATAGAAGTTGTAAATAGTTGTTTGTTTATTTGTATATTCTTATCAAACATATTCAGCCCTAAAAATCAAAGAGAAATTGTTTTTGGTGTTTTAGAACATAATTATACTCATCTGTCATCCAAATAAAGCTTTTGTTGTATTAAGTTTTGTCTTTTTATATTTTGATACTCAAATAACTTATTTCTTAAAAAAATGTTTTTAAAAACTTTTGTAGTTTGCAATGTAATAAATCGCCTTGACATTGTTAAAAATGGCAAAATTGTTATTTAAATTGTATTTTTATTCAAATGACAAGAACTGATTTTATTAGAGATATTTCTTTAAAAGTTTGATTTACCTCAGTTTTCAAGTGAATCTCAAGTGATAAATTATTTTTCAAGATTGGAAAGAAAAGACTATAGATAGGACTTAAATACATGCTTTTTATATAGCTAGTCAAAATTTATGGGAATCGAAATCATATTTTATTTAAAATTCAAAATTCAAGTTTAGTAGACTTTCCTTTAAATTCTTCAGAAAAACTGAAAACCAAACAAATGTTTGAATTTTCAAATATATTTATTGTAAGTTTTCCCATATTTAGAGCATTTCACTTTAAAGCCATATCCTTATCTTTTAAAATAAGTTGGATTTGAATTTGAATTTGCTGCATATTGTAAACAATGCTCTTCATATTAAATATAGTATTCCCGTGGTGTCATTTTATTGTGCTAAATTTTGTATATATTGTAAATATATATGTAGTCATATTTTTTATGTTCTGGTGTAGTTTTTATTTCGTTTTTAACATTTAATGCTTTATTTCTTTTAGTGCTTTATTTTAATACTGTATTCAGAGAAATGGAAAATTCCACAATTTTAGATGTTTGATTTAGATGTGAACTCCAGATCTTTCCTGAAACTTTCTGACAGATGTGTTGTTGGTAGAGCCAGAGAAACTGTCTCTAGTTTCTCCAATTTGATTGCTGCCAATAGAAAATATGGATATATAGAGTGAACCATTGTTATCCTGAAAGTCCAATAAGAAACAGAAAATATGAAATCGATTATGTAATAAAATATTTTATTGTAAAATGTTACCATTAAATTACATTAATAATAATTTCCAAGAGAAGTTATGGAATTTCAATTTTTCAAAATATATTCTCATGTTTTTTTGAAGAACAAAAACCAAAGATTATCACTAATTATTCTTAATAATGCTCTGTATTTATTGTGAGATTATTTCTAATGCTTGAATTCTGTTCATCTCATGTGTTATATTAATGATGAATACCAGTAGAAATAATCACCTTCTTGAGATTAGGCTACCATTATAATAAACACAATACCAATTATCTTCAATACATGTTAAATATTATCATTTCTTTTGGACAAAATTTTGTAACAACATTATAGAATTTTCTTGAAATATTTCCAATACAATCTTTCAATGTATATTTAAGGAAGTAAAAGTTATTGATTGCTTTAGCTGTAAATTGGCTGCAAATTTTAATGTCATTCTTGTTCTTAAATGCATGACACTATTTATATAAATGGTGAAGTTGCCATGTTTTGATTAACTTTTGTAGTAAAAATGAGCTGGAAATAAAACAGTTTGACTAAGTTGGGTTTACCTCTTGTAAATAGAAGTGATTCTAGAAAACTTTAGAAAGGATAGGCCTTTTGTCTCTTAAGTTTTGTTATTGAATAATTTAAAACAATAACACATTTTTCTGTATATTTCATTTATTTCATTAACAAGTATTTTGTCACTGAAATTTCATGTAGTAAAATTTGACATTTCCCCATAAATCACAATTATTGACTTTATTTTTCTAACTAAATTATTTTTGATTCACTAAATTTATTGTACATAAGAAATGAAATTTTTTATTTATTTTGAATAATGTATTTCTCACATTCCAAATTTTATGAAGAAAATTGTATTTTTATATGTAGTAAATCTATTCTTATAGAATTTATGTTTGGTGCATCAACTGTCAACTAAATGTTTTTTAATTTGGTTCGATTTCAATAAACTCTGTTAATAGTCCATTAGTTTAAATGTTTGAACAGTCTAACCACAGAAACCTGCTATTGCGACTAGCACAGTACACTGACCTAGTGGAATCCATGTCAGATTTTGGAGATGTGGTTTATTTTTGGACAGGACAACATTTTTATACGCCCACATTGAAATATGGCTACTGTTGTATCCAATCTTAATTAAACTCCAATACATTAATGAGATCTCTCCGTTAAGTTCGAATTTAGCATTGTTTTGAGTAAACAGGTTTATGAGTTCTGCTTGTAAACACCATAAGGGCTAGCCTACAGTTGTATCCAATATTAATTAAACTTGGTATGCAGGTAAATATTAATGAGATCTCGGCCAAGTTTGAACTTAGCTCGTTATGAGTGAACGGTTTTTGAGTTATTGCCCTTGAGTTAGTAAAAACGCATCAAATTTTCTTGTAAACATGATAGAGGCTACAGTTTAAATCAGATCTTGATGAAACTTGGTATGCATGTATATGTTGATGAGATCTTGATCAAGTTTGAATTTGGCTTATTTTGAATGAACAGTTTTTGAATTATTATCCTTGATTTAGTATAATCACACCAAATTTGGCTTGTATACATGAAAGGGGCTACAGTTTTTATCAGATCTTAATGAAACTTGGTATGTTTGTAAGATTTTGGTCAATAATAAATTTGGCATATTTTGAATTAACGGTTTTTGAGTTATTGCCCTTGACTTAGTAAATATGCACCAAATTTGACTTGTAAACATGATAGGGGCTACAGTTTAAATCAGATCTTGATGAAACATTGGTATGCATGTATATGTTGATGAGATCTTGATCAAGTTTGAATTGGCTTATTTTGAATTAACGGTTTTTGAGTTATTGCCCTTGACTTAGTAAATATGCACCAAATTTGACTTGTAAACATAATAGGGGCTACAGTTTTTTTTATCAGATCATGATGAAACATTGTATGCCTGTATAAATTAAGGAGATCTTAGTCAAGATCAAATTTGTTTATGTAGATAAAACCTTCTTAGTGTGAATATGATGATTACTTATTATATATCTTTGAAAATATAAATGAGAAGATTGTGATAATTCAATGTTTCTGGGTTATTGCTATTGATTTAAAAAGATTTGTGGAAAAACTAAGCATAACTTTAACTTGATGAGATATTCAAAGTTTTTGATCTAAAAATTCACACCGAAGATCTTCAATATGAGAAATTTCGCATTATTATGAAGATCTTTAATATATTTTTGGTCCATAATGATGTAGCTTTTATTTCTTACAGCTGCCAGTGGGCGTGTGTTACCTTGCCTAGCAAGCTATCTTTTTAATATAAAGTGAAAGTATTTTCCTCTTCCTTAGATCATAATCCATTACGGTAGATACGAGTAGCACCCCTTTTCTAGGAAACACCCCATTGAATGTTTTAGATTTATTTACGAATGAGAGGAGATGTTGGTGGACAAGGTGCAAGTTGTGCTTATGGGGATGTGGTTTATTCGCAGCCGTTTTCCAGATATCATTAGACTCACCCACGTTGTCTACACAATCCGAATATTGCCCACACTCCGGGAACGCGTTAAGCGGAAAGGATATAAACCAATTATGTCAATGTTACAAAGTTAAAACAAATAGTGAGTATAGTTCATAGTCTTAATGAACTTACCTAGTCTCGAAGGCACGAGATGTACCCCTTATTTAATTGTTTACTCGGTACAATACAAGATATTTTATTAGAACTCGTATTCTTTCAATAAGAATATGTATATTAAAACTATTTTCAAGAAAAGAAAATAAAAGCATTCTTTTGAGTACCTTTTACATTTCTTCTGTACATAATAGATAATGGATAAAGTAAATCAATATAACGAATGTTTTGATTTATTGATGTAACAGAATATTATATTACTTTACAGAGGTAAACATTTCAAACATTTATAAATTCAAAAAATCACAAATCAAAATATTTTTGTCCCTATCAAAATCTAAATAGGCAAATAAAATTATAAATGAGATGAAAAAAAAAACCCAACAAAAGTCGCGTTTACAAAAACCGAATAAGGTTTCAAGCGAGACATTTTAAAGTCAATGTAAACGGGGCTATAGTTCACCAGCAAATAGAGCACAATTTTAGTATTTTGTTTCAAATTAATTGACCAATTCAGTATATTATTGTCAACCCCCCCTGTGCAACAAATATCTGAATAATCGATATCGAAATAAACTGGAATTTGTTGCATATGTGTTGTTTTTAATGTGTAGAATGCTGTTGGTAACTGGATTCTTAAAGATGTAAAACTCCTAGGCCTACACAGGAAACCAGATTAACCTAATATCCAGCTGGTTTCCCGCCCTTTCTATAATCACTATTAGCAGTAATATCACCAGGTTTCAACTGTAATATACCCTGAACAACAGAGCCTCCACCAACCCACGTCATATTATGTCCAATTCCTTTTAATCCATCAAATACAACCTACAATAGGAAAAAATAGTTTAGTTAAGTCATCTTTGTCAAGGTAAGTTTAAAAGGGGCGTTGCCTACCTAGTATGTTTGTAGAATTTTAGTGCCACACCTGGACTACACTAAACGGTCTACCGCGAAACTTCTTAGCTTTACGGAAACTGCCGAATGTCTTCCATGCTGTATTTTTGCGTGTTTACATTCAGACATTTTGTATGATTCTTGTTGATTTAAATGTTTAATTCAAAGGATACATAACCTCTTCATCACGGTACATCTTATTAGTATACACAAATAGCGTGATATATAGCGATAACTGTATGGTTTATGCTCACCGCAGGGTATCCTCTTTCAGCCTCACAAACTTCCGGAACCAGCTGATCGTGAAGTCTTGGATAATCAATAGATTTCTTTATTCCCCACTTAAACCATAAACTCTCCATAACCACCTGAGGTAGAATGATAGATGTTAAAAAAACCGAAATGGTATGTTGTCTTTGTTATGAATCGTTCACTTACAACCGGAAGTTTAAATAGACCTAAGCATTAAAATGTCGATAACTTTGAAATGAACTAGAATTTAGTTATTGTTATCAATGCTTTGTGTAAGTCCATACTGGCATAAAATATCTCTAAAGTTGAATAGGAACCAATAATCATAGCATTATCTATTGTAACATTTTTAACATCCAGAAGTGCAATGTAATCTTACATAATTATGGAATTCCACAGCCAACACGAACTAAACTAATGGCGGTGTTCTGTAGTCACAATGAGTTTTTGTACACACGTCTTTCTGTTCGATTTTCTCTTTTAAAGAGGAAGGGGTTATCTAAATCAATTTTATTTCAGCTGATAAACTTTGCTTACTCTGGCTACAGCAGTGGTGATTTTTGTTCCACCTGAAGCTCCTACCACCATTACAACATCACCACTTGGGGCAACAGCGATACTTGGAGTCATCGAAGATAGCGGACGTTTCATAGGTTTGATAAAGTTTGCTGGAGATGCAGGTACACCAAAATAGTTGGTGGTGTTTGGAGTAGAAAAGTCGTCCATTTCGTCATTATATATAATTCCTGTATTTTCTCCCACGACGTCGGATCCAAAACTAGAAGAAATTCAAGTGAAAGGGGTTCCCAAATATTACACCAAAGAAAGGTATAATAACATAAAAAAAAAACATTCAAATTGGAGTTTTACGTTTAGCCTTCTGCTGCCTTTTTGGCTTTGCTGTCCAGATTCCTCAGTATCGAACGAAAATTGTGTCCCTTGTACTAAGAGCGTCCGTTTTCATCTCTTCAGAAGGATAGCCTCATATGTCAACTCGTCCCTGCATCCCCGACAAAAGGAATCAGACTAAAAGGTGAGGGCATTTTATATTATGTTAGTAGCTCTGCAGGTCAACTTGCTGAGTCACCACAGCTCTGTGAAGTATAAGAAGAACTCACTAAAGATTGACTGTACTAGTAATAGCAACAGCATCACCATTAGGTCCCAGGAGAGATAGATGTGTAGTACCATGTGTTTCTGTTAAGCTAAAAGCTGGATGGTAGTGTTTATATTTGAATGTTTTATTATCGTTTATTTTATATCTTGTAGTTTCACCGTAGTTTAGGTTGGTAAGATCAGAAACAATCTACAACAGAAATACATATACCAACAACCCTTTCCATGAAGACTCTCAGACTGAGTATCAACCTTGAATCCCATTGGAGAGTCAAATACTTATAATATTACTTTGGTATTCTGGTCCTACATTACGTAAGATTGGCACATATGTCAATCTGAAAAATACATCTGTAAGGTCTGAAGGAGTTATAATTTGAGATTTCGGACAATGCAGAATGGTCAGACAAGTTTGGTCACTCTTCCGATATACACTCGATGATATGCATTTATTTTTGTTTTTTGTCTGAAAACGGTTGCTCTGATTGGTTTTATATTAAAAAAATCACACCGCCTTGTTATATTTTGATAGTATTTTCTTTCTTACATATTGAAATGAAATTAAAATTCCTTTTATACTTTCTTACCTGTGAGATATTATGTTTGAATTCTGCTGTTCCAACTTCTGGATCGCCTAGAGTTGATCTCCTAGCAAAGGCGAATTTGAATGCTTCAATAATTCGATGTTCTGTTAATGTTTGAGTTTTTGTTTCAAAATCAGATGGGACCATTTTATATCCTAAAACATTTTTAATTGAATTACACTCAATGAAGAGAATTCTATACACTGTTAAAATCGATCTTATATCTTAACATTCAAATTAACTGGCAGCAAAGAAACCAGTAAACTGCGTGTAAAGGACAATATAGTCTTACAAGGACAGTAATGTAAGCAACACACTAAACATCACCTCCTCCTGAGTTACAAATCCACAGACAGTTATTTCATCATATGTTTAAAGATTTATCTGGTATTTGTCTTTTGACTCCTTGGGCATGGCGAACGGCAGCTCAAGGACACACCTTACCGTTAAGTATATTGAGTACATATTGAAATACTGCTCCAGTAGACGGTGGTGGTGGTGAATATACGGTAATACCATCATACAACTTAATAGAAACAGGATCATCAACAGTCGCAACATAGTTCCTTAAATCATCAGAGGTAATGATTCCTCCTGAAAAGTTTTTGCATTTAGAAAATTAAGGTAGCATCCTTCACAATAAAGACAATATAGCATTGGTGCTGATGCGTGGTCACGAACCACGAATCTATTAATATACACAGTTAAGGAAAAAGAGGCATCCATACGAAACTACGTTTGGTTCTTACATATAAATAAAAACTCTCGAACGTAGTTTTTGATTTGAATTTTGATAAAGGCTTTGTTGAATATTACAGCCTTTTCGAAAATTCGACTTAATAAGTCTTCAAATGGCTTCATATTCAAAATATATGTGAACTACGTTCGTGTGAGTTATTACCATACGTAGTTTCGTATGAAGAGTCACTGAGTCACAAAGGGTCAACCCTGGTGCACAAACTCCACCTGAATTTTTTTATCAAATTTAGTGATTTGAAAGACTTACCAGCATCTTTGATTTCTTTAGATATAACATCTGTCAAAGAACCATTGTAAAACGCTTTCACTCCTTCATTGGCAACTGCTTCAAGAGTTCGAGCTAGCTCTGGTCGCTTCATCTTTTCACCAGCTTTGTAATATGTTTTAGTGTCTGGATTTGTGAACAGCTTTCTGTGATAAATTAAATTATTGAAATGAAAAAAAAGGTTAGTTTGTGGCAATTAGATTTGAGCGTTTGTCTGTAATTTGGCCACTGTTGAGATTAATACCCATTGTTAAACCAAATAAGCTCTTTAGTCTAAAAGCAGAGTTAAGCTGAACGTTTTAGTGAAAAGTTTTTGAAAATGGAAACGTTTTTTTGTACAACGATGATTACTCCTTCTTTGGACTTTGGAAAATGAATGATTTAGCAATGTTTTTTAATCATTTCTGTGTAAAAATGTTGACAATTCTTGCCAATTTTAAGCTGGCACCCCAAAGCCTATGTAAATTTCTTTGGACGATTTTCGTATATAAAGTCTAAAAGATAAGTAAGCTGATCAGAAATATATTGAAAAAGCTATTCTATAAACATCCATGCGTGTCTTTATTAGAATAAATGCAAATAGTTCTCAAACCTTAAATTTGCCGGTGGATTTTTTCGGAGTTCACTATGCATGGCAGACATCAATGTGGAGCTGACTGGAATTCCATTTTTGCATAAACTTATAGCGGGTTTGAAAAGATCTTTCCATGGAAGTTTACCACCTATTTTGTATGCTTGCCACATCCCCATCAGCTGTCCAGGTACAGCTATAGCTAATCCTCCTGAAAAGTTGAATTTCAACATTATAAACACATCTTGGAGATGCCAAGAACCTTAACTCTCAGCATGACCAGATACGCCAATGGCGGCCCTGGTGTCAATATCTAAATAAAAAAAAAACACCCGAATCTTTTGCCAACAAGGTGGTAGTTACAGGCAGGTTAACAATGTATCCGGGGAAGTTAACAAAGATGTCAATGTGTTAGTGAAAGTTAACAAAGTGGTTTATGAGTATTTTACGGAAGGTAAACACAGTGGTAAAATCACAGAAAAGATTCACTGGATGGAAAAAACTATAAATCGAGTAGCCATTACTAGTCATGTATGAACCTAAAGTATCCATATGTAAAAAATCTTACTTCAGCCGGCATATACCTTTCTCTGAAGATTTGGTCTTAAACATCTCCTGAGTGGCAGCGGACGGTGCCATCTCCCTAGCATTGATAGTGTAGACTTTCTTGCTGGTTCTAGAGACAGAAATGTGATCAATGTTAACATCAATAGCACATGCACTGTACAAACAGATAAAATAAAAAAAATATTTTTATACACAAGCATTCTCTTACGCAGAAGAGAATTTCAATCAAGATAAAAAATAGGAGGAAAATGAAATTAAAACTTAAATTAAAATCAGATTGAATACTAATAACAACATAAGTAAATATCTCACCTTTTGTAAATGGTCATAAAATGGCCTCCACCGATGCCAGTACTCATAGAATTGGCCAAACCAACACACAGCAGGGTAGCAATGGCAGCATCTACAGTAGAACCCCCTTTAATCTTCATAATATCTCTGTGAAATCAAAATAAACGGTATCCGTATTTTGGGTTTTGGACTAGTCCGGCACATCTGCCTCTATCCCAGCCTCTGATAGATATTTTGACAGTAGTCGTCGGCTGGAGTAAGGTCAGGAAAACTTGGCCCTGTTTTATGGGTTTTTTTGCACCCTAAAAATTTCACTTTTTACCCCATATTTTCTATTTCCGACATATTTATATAATAGCCGATATTTGCCGATGTACTGTGGAACAAATTATGGTAAACTATGCTTATGAATTGAATTTATTTTTAAAAAAAGCAAAACAAAGGATACATCATAGATAATATTTTTTTTGTTACCGTGTGACAAAAAGAAAACGACAGATGGTCAGCATGTTTGCTAGACATATAATAACAACGTTTTTGCTACGTTATGCGATGTGTTATCTCTTTTTACAACAGTTTAACTAGGTTATTTTATAATAATAACAAAAAGGTGACACAGTCAAGTAAACTTCTAAGATATCTCATGAACAATTTCAATTAAGGTGGATCAAACTAGTACATGGCTATGTTATGCTATTATGCTTTCACTAATCCAGAGAACACTAATACTAAAATATACTTACACGCCTACTTGAGAACATATTTCAGTATCTGTTGCCACCGCTGCATGTTTGTAATGACCTTCAATCGATGATGATTTTTTGACATTGTAGTTTTCATGTCCGTTTTCTGAGATAATGAAACCATCAGCTAATGATATCCAACAACAAATACTAATTCCCCAAATCAACATTTCTCTGAAAAAATTTAGAAATACCCAATCTAGTGCTAAAGGGAAAAAAATGCTGAAAGAAACAGTCACGACACCTGAGATTCCGTGGCAATGAGCTTTCCAGATGTCCTAATTCGTTGGCTGAAAAGTTTTGGGTAAAATATCACAAAAACATTAATTTTCAAATTGAATCACGGTAGCCGTGGGTTATCTTTTTGGAATTTTTTCAGATTTCTCTATCGAGGCATATTAACTTCTAGGTGAATGCGTGCAAGATCCAGAAGTTCTCTAAAACGTTTGATTTGTTTCTGCTGTCAAGAATCCAAAGGCCACACGATACAAGGCGACAGCAGTTTGGTTAATGCAGAGAATTGTCTCAAAGATGAATTGTAATGTTACTTACGGTAAAAATATAGGCCTAGGCTTCCAGAATTCAGCCCAATATGTCGCCTCAAGTTTGTGAAAGCATGAAGAAAAATGTGTATGTTCCCACTAAAGATAAGAGGTCTAAATGAAATAACCTTCATGACGTCACTGAGTCGAATAGGTAGGCTACATTCAAACGTTCACTGTTAAAATTCTGTACAGACTTTACACCCAAATAGGTGGAAACTAAGTTGCCACCAAATAAGGTGTTGGTTCACACAAGTCCATGGATAAACTGTTTCACTCTTACAGATGTTTTTTTTTATTCTTTAGTTTCAAATTAAGCAAACTATTTAATTAATTTGTGTTTCTAATGAACTATTATGTATTCTTATATATTCATATTCTCATATCATTCTGTTCTTATTACATATAATTAAGAGTATTAACCAATCATAAATGTCCATGTATGTACAGTCTGAAGCAACAAAAAAAGGACTTTTTTCAAGTCATTAGAACACCTCTACTTTCTATTCATATAAGCATTTTCATTTTTCATAAATTAAAATAAGGGAACCCATCTTTAAGGATGTTGCTTTATACTTATACTTAATATTGTGTGTTATACACAAAATGGTGTGTGTATCTGTAATGCTAAATCGGCCGGTGTAAATGTTGATTACACTCGGATGTTCCGTTCCTGGTGTTAGTAATATAGGAGTACAACAATTACGGTGTAAGCTTTACACTGTTTATTTAAAATCAACCCATCTTCTCTATAGAATCATCAATGACAATAATTTGGACTTTGGTCTGCTCTAGCCTAGCATTAGTTGTCGCTGTCAGTTTATAATGGCGATCAGATCAATCACATGAAGAGGTTGGCATGCTGGAAATTTTAAATTTTATATAGGAAACGCATGCCAGCAACAATCAGATGAGGTTTAGAAATATGCTAATCTGGTGAATATAATTTGCGGATAAATATTTAATAAACAAATGAAAATCAAAATATAAGTTTATTCATATTTATTTCACAAATATGTACACAACATTTACATCGTAGAGTTTAACAGAAGAGTTTTGTTAACACTGTCGAACGTGAAAGGAACATTCTGAAAATGAAAAATGGCGTCACCCCAAGTGAAGGTAGCAAACACTAGCATTGGAATAGCAATCAGATTCATAAAAAATCCAGCTGTCACCTGAAATAACGAATAATTACCAAACTTACCATTTTGTTCAAATCATATTCTTCACAATCAATATCCTTAAATGGCAAATCACCACTTACAGTAATTCACTTTACAAGCATGGTTAGTTAATACAAACCGCGTCTAATACCTTGACATCATTTGTCAATTCTCTGTATCGCAAGAGTTATTTTTGTGAATTTCGTTGTGTCTTCTTGGGCGAGACTCTTTACTTCCGGTATTTAGCAGTTATTTGTCTATTGATTGTAATTGTAGTACTTTAATTCAGATACTTTGGGAGATAATTCTGACACACACTTATGTAGTTAATGCTATATTGTGACTATTTGTTATTCGGTGATACATTTTATTATCAGTTGGAATACATGTTTTGTTTTCATTGACTTTGTTTACAAACAACCTGCCTGTAATAGTTAAATTTCCAAAATCACGTGACAATATTGACATAGTTCCGGTAAAAAAATGGCCATTCATTACCGTGATATGTTGCAGAGTGCTAGCGTTACTTTCACGGTGCCGTTTGGAAGACTCTATACAATATAATATATACATTTTGTGAGTTTCGAGGGCTCCAATTGACTGTGTGGTTGATTTTAGCTTTTCGTGACACCAAAGACCCCAAATACAAACAAAGAGACACAGCTTAGAAAATTCCAAGGAACTATCTCTACTTATACCCTTAAAAATGGACAGGGAAATGAAAATTAAGTTACCATATCTAAAACTCTAATGTGACCATAAGAAAAGCATAAAGCATTTGGTGCCGTTGCTACTGGTAACATATAAGCAAAAGACGCTGAAACTGCTGCTGGCAGAATATAAAATAGTGGATTGACTCCCGTGCTCATTGCCTGGAAGAAAAATGTTCATTCATTAATGCTTTTTATAGATTCCAAAAGTTATGACAAATTTGGCAAAAGGACAATTCCGAAAGGGGAATACTGTATTTGTAAAATTGTTTTCCTTATTGAATATTGAAAGTCATGACGTTTTTAGTCATTACCTGTTTACCTGAAAGGTATTTCGATGCTCTGAAAGTGTCAAATGTTAGTCAGAGTACATATTAGCATACGTAATTTTCCTTAAAGCTGTCCACGAAAAATTATAAAATATTGTACATAAGCATAATTTTGCGTCTCACCAGTTCGGCCAGGATAGGTATAATTAAAGTTGCCAGGGCTACATTACTTATAAATTCAGTTAACATTTCACAAATATAACATAATACTAATAACATCAACCATTTATTTAATCCAATAAATACTTCTAACTGTAAACCAATCCATCTGGACAGTCCTGATACCTTCAATAATTTAACAATTATTATACAAGATAGCATATTTCAATTGGTATAATAGGGCACACAATTTACATACAATACCAAAATGTAAACATAGCTATACAAACCCTGCAGAGACTTAGTTGACAGAAGAAACAATGTTAACTGGGTTTCTGTACCCAAAGCCGAAAAGGCCGACACGCTGGAGATCAAATGGGGGTCCAAAGATTTGTTCTATAAATCACAAGACGCACAACGATCTTTGTCACTGTCATACACCATTGAGAATACATGCAACTGATTAAAAAATAGCAGCTTACATGACAACCTTTAGCTAGAGCGAATCCACCACCTAACAATATGAATAAACCCCAAGGAAGCTTCTCGTGTACATTCTGCCACGTTAATAGAGGCCGTGGTGTTCTAAACATATCTGAAAATAGATTGTTAATTGTCTATATATCTTAATAAAAATGGGGTATCAAATCCTAAATTAAACCTCTCTACCATATTTTTCATTAGCCCACATGGTGCAGAAAAGTAGGACGTAAAACTACATTCATTTCATTCCATTTCTAGTAATTTCTACCATCTTGGATCTAGCGTTATGAAGAATCCTTTTCAGCCAATCAATGACCATGTCTGTCAGCCTGAGTGGATATCTTTGCATAAATATTCTTAATATCATAGATGATAAACGGGAGACAATGTCTACTTAAAACGATGCTGATATCGTGCAAAGGAAAGCTTTTTAGCTATTATTCAAATTAGATGCCACTCTAATACATACTCTTCAATACAAACCTCTATCGTTCTTTTTATCTCGATTACAGAAGATCGGTGGAAGTTCAGATGGTAGGAAAAACAACAGAACGGCAACAAGTATGGCTGGTGTAGAATCTCTTACATATCTGAAGTAGTAATGAAATGAAACCGACAGTGGGGTCGCCAAAGTGGTTAATCAATAGGAAAAGGGTAATAAAAGTTGTCAATCTGTAGTGGTAACGGTTAACGAAGTGATTATTATGTAAGCAAAAGTTAACAAAGTGGTCCATATGTAAGGGAATGTTATCAAAGTGGTCAATATGTAAGGGAAGGTTATCAAAGTGGTCAATGTAAGGGAATGTTATCAAAGTGGTCAATATTTAAGGGAAGGTTATCAAAGTGGTCAATGTAAGGGAATGTTATAAAAGTGGTCAATATGTAAGGGAAGGTTATCAAAGTGGTCAATGTAAGGGAATATTATCAAAGTGGTCAATATGTAAGGGCATGTTATCAAAGTAGTCAATATGTAAGGGAATGTTATCAAAGTGGTCAATATGTAAGGGAAGGTTAACAAAGTGAATTTGTATAAGGGAATGTTATCAAAGTGGTCAATATGTAAGGGCATGTTATCAAAGTGGTCAATATGTAAGGGAAGGTTATCAAAGTTGTCATTATGTAAGGGAAGGTTATCAAAGTGAATTTGTATAAGGGAATGTTATCAAAGTGGTCAATTTGTAAGGGCATGTTATCAAAGTTGTCAATATGTAAGGGAAGGTTATCAAAGTGAATTTGTATAAGGGAAGGTTATCAAAGTGAATTTGTATAAGGGAAGGTTATCGAAGTGAATTTGTATAAGGGAAAGTTAAAGGAGACAATCTCTGAGGGAAACTACATAAAGGGAAAATTAACAAAGTGAGAAAAATAAAGTCATAAAATGTTAAATCTGCAAAGAATGTAAACTATGAATATGAAAATAAACTATAAAACAAAGACTTACAGAGGTTGAAATAAATCACCCCAGCCACCAACACCACCTAAATCTCGAGTTATCCAGCATACCACTAATATTGAAAACAATACTAGCACATTCTTTTGAGCATACCTGAAGATAATATAGAATTGTCCAGGCAGCCATTTTACCTAGCCGCTTAAGGCTAGTCATTCAGAGGTCATATTATGAGCAAATTTCGAGATATTTCTGAACTGGCATGTGCAGGAATGGAACAGAAAAGCATTACAACGATTCAAGCATAGGTTCTTAATCTCTACTCTCTTCATGTGTCGGGCACTTACAGTGGTTTATTTTTTTGAAACATTCATTGACATCATTATCGCATAAACCTTCTTTTTTTTTTATCTGATTAAGTTTTTACCAACTCAAAGCAGTCAGACAACCGCTTAGAGAAGCAATGACTGTCTCCAATACAAAGGATAAAATAAACCTCATTAGAATCCCTTTAAGAAACCAGATAAGGTATTCAGCAAAATCAACACCGTGACTGAAAGTGTTATTTCCTGTCCGAAATCTAAGGAATCTTTTAGATGATTATCGACCGAGGCAGTATTCTTACTAGTTTACCTGATGAGAATTGTGAACAAAGCTCTAGACCTGGGTTAGATAAAATGCTCATTTCTTACAAGTAAAAATCGATGTGACATTTTATAATGTATTATGACTGAACAATGAATACTCTATTCCCAAACAACATAGTACTAGACTTACGTCACTGGACCTAATGCATCATATTGTTTTCGAATCATCTCCTGCACTTTGTTTTCTCCTGATTGTTTCTTATCTTTACAACTAAACGTAGCGCTGAAATAAAAGAGGAGTGCACTTTAATTTCGTTTCATCGCTGATATTAATTTTACAATTAGTTTTTCAGATGAAAATCAGACGTCTGGTCTAGTTGAGTTTAGTATTCAGAAGTACTAGGAATGTACGAAAATTGTAAAATTCATTCAAAATACCTCAAATTTTACTGAATATTTCTATATGTCTTTTCTATCTTAAAATGACGAGTTATAACATTCCAACGCGGATAATTCTGATGGATATAAAGGTTCAAATTTCGACGGTGAGCAGGGAACATTATTGCTGATTGGCTTAGCTAAAAAAAAATTCAGAGACTAAAGTACGGTTGGTCAAAAAGAATGTCGCATCAGTCCCTTTAACTGGAATTGCAAGTAAAAACCACATAGAAAGCATACTCGACATCATATTCCCAATAATTTGTAAAAGTATACTTTTTTTAGGTAGCTAATATTGATTTATATCTGCCACTTCAGAAAAAAAAGTCATATGATCATATCCTTTTAAAAACAACTAGAAAAACAACGCTTGATTATTTTAGCTCTTATAATAAAACACACCTAAAAAACGTTTTTTAAGATAAAAGAAATAAATCCCAAGAGCCTTGAATTGGCGTAAGGAATTGTCGTTTCATCAATGAACATTGTTTTCAAATTTAAGGTATACCTCGTATTTGGGATGGAAATCATAATTTTTCAATTAAGCACGTGATTTTTAAACCGGTCAATCAACACGCTTACACGTAACAATTTCACGTTTTGTTTTGTAAATATTTAATCACGCTCGAAACTCGTTAACAAGATAAGAATACGAGAAACTCCCTTTTTTATACGACTTTCTCAGGCCACACATCTTGATTTTCTCCAACGTTCAAACGATTTTTGAATCATACAATTTTATTTATTATAGCTTAGATTATATTGTGTGAAATCTCTCCCCTTGCCCCTATAAAACTTATTGTACAGGTAAAAAGATATTGTGGGGAAAAAGAAGCACCCACAACTAGCAATAGGGCATATTATGACCAAATCGATTAAAGATGAATAGATTATTTCTCTATTGTTAAACGTATTTTCACCACGGCCTAATCAAATCAAATTGTGCTTTTAACGCTTTTAACATGTTGAAGTATTTAATTGTTGTTTAACTTAGATAATAAAATTTCCTACGATTAGAATTTATTCGATTATTTCACTTCAGAAGTTTAAATCGGTACAGGCTTTTAAAATTTATGGATCTTTGACAACTTAAACTAGATTAGTTCTTGTTAGTTTGTTAGCTCTATACACAGTCCAAAAGAATTCCAGAATGTGGCATCTCTACTTTTTTTTCTTTTTCTGTGCACACAGTGTTGCATTCGTTATAGAAGATGGAGAGTACGTTTTAAGTGACATGTTTTATGAACCCAAATCTTGCGATAATTCTCTTTTCTATAGTCACCTGACAACTGAAACCAGTTTGTCTTTATCTTATTGCTGTGTTCAATGTCAAAGGAATTTAGATTGTAGACGAATCATGTTTGATAGAAAAACTAAACAATGTTCAATGTTTGAATCGGGTGAAAATTGTTTCCACCATGAAAATATTGAAGATAAAGTTTGCTACAGACTGGTAAGTTTTACATTTATATCTATATTTTATATAGAATGTACGTAAACTAAATCTATTCATTAATTCATTATTACATTAATTTATTCATCCTTTCATTTAATAATTCTTTTATATTTTATTCAATAATGGATTAATTCTTTTACTCTTTTATTTATTCCTTTTCTTTTTATTCCTTTTCTTTTTATTCCTTTTATTATAGTTTTCTTCTTAAAGTTTATCAATTCAATAGTAATTTTCAATTAATAAATTCTTTAGTTATCTATTTAATTAATTAATTATTATCTTTTATTTTTCAATTAATTTATTTTTAAAGCAGGCTATTTTGCATGTTTGTTTATTTATCATTTTCAATTTCATCTCATTTCATTTTCAAATTTTCATTTCATTTCATTTTTTTTTATTTTCGATTACACTCAATCTTTTAAAACTTTTTTTCATTCTATTTATTTATTAATTTATTTATCAATTAATTCGTTAAATTGGTCTAATAATTAGTACTAATTCATTTACCCATCTGTTATTTCCTATTTATTTGTACATCATTAAATTATTTTTTTAATCGAGACTTTATTTATCTCATTATTTATTCACTAAAATGTATTTGAATTATCTGACAGAATAAATATCTTAACAGTATCCAATCTCAAATATATCCATATATATCACTTTCATATATCGGGCATTTCATTTAGTTATTTTCAAAATGAATTTTCATTGGTTTAAACTTCTATAATAAAATATCATACTTTATGACGATTTTTTGGACTATTGTTCTTTAGGATGTATACAATATATTTCAGAAATCTGTATGCTCGAATTCACTTTGTAACAGATGTCCCATTGGCTATTATGGTGATACATGTCAACATATCATACAAGGTAAGTCGATGTTAACATATCATACAAGGTAAGTCCATGTTAACATATCATACAAGGTAAGTCGATGTTAACATATACAAGGTAAGTAAATGCTAACATATCATACAAGGTAAGTCGATGTTAACATATCATACAAGGTAAGTCGATGTTAACATATCATACAAGGTAAGTCGATGTTAACATATCATACAAGGCAAGTCAATGCTAACATATCATACAAGGTAAGTCGATGTTAACATATCATACAAGGTAAGTCGATGTTAACATATTATACAAGGTAAGTCGATGTTAACATATCATACAAGGCAAGTCAATGCTAACATATCATACAAGGTAAGTCGATGTTAACATATCATACAAGGTAAGTCGATGTTAACATATCATACAAGGTAAGTCCATGTCCACATATCATACAAGGTAAGTCGATGTTAACATTTCATACAAGGTACGTCCACGTTAACATATCATACAAGGTAAGTCCATGTTAACCTATCATACAAGGTAAGTCCATGTCAACATATCTTACAATGTAAGTCCATGTTAACATATCTTACAAGGTACGTCAAAGTCAACATATCATACAAGGTTAAGTCCATGTTAACATATCATACAAGGTAAGTCAAAGTCAACATATCATACAAAGTTAAGTCCATGTTAACATATCATACAAGGGAAATCAATGTCAACATATCTTACAAGGTAAATCAATGTCAACATATACAAGGTAAGTCGATGTTAATATGTCATACCAGGTAAGTCGATGTGAACATATAACACAAGGTAAGTCGATGTTAACATAATTAGAAGGTTAGTCCATGTCAACATATCATACGAGGTAAGTCCATGTCAACATATCATACAAGATAAGTCGATGTTAACATAATTAGAAGGTACGCCCATGTTAACATATCATAGAAGGTAAGTCCATGTTAACATATCATACAAGGTAAGCCATTGTAAACATATCATACAAGGTAAGTCGATGTTAACATATCTTAAATGGTTAGTCGATGTTAACATATCTTAGAAGGTTAGCCCATGTCAACATATCATACAAAGTAAGTACATGTTAACATATCATACAATGTAAGTCCATGTCAGCATATCTTACAAGGTAAGTCAATGCTAACGTATCATACAAGGCGAGTCGATGATAACATATCATACAAGTTAAGTCAATATTAACATATTATACCAGGTAAATCAAAGCTAACGTATTTTCACTCCGGTGAAATTATGTGATAATTCCTGTAATTTTGAATTAAAATAGTTTTCACCTAAGTGAAGATAATTGTCACCAAGCTGTAAATTCAAGAATTTTGAATTAAAAACTGTTTCGCCATTGTTTACAAGATCGGGCTGGTCATATAGGCTTGAAATGTTTTAATTAAAAATTCGTCGAATTTTCACCAAGCTGAAAATTAAAGTTTTTAATTAAAAATTACAAGAATTATCATTTAATTTTCACAAAAAGATTATAATTCACAATTACAGGAAATATCACCTAATTTTGAACTAGTTTTTCATTCAAAATTACTTTTCACCAGGTGATAAATATAGTTCTTAATTGAAAATAAAAAGTGAAATATGTAAGTCAATTTAATGCCTATCAATGGAAGATTTAAAGATTTTCAGAATGTAGTAGATTCTATTTCACTAATTTATATATTGCTGGTTGCTTAGTTTTATTATAATTGTATACTTTGGTCATTTGTTTTTAATTTTGTATTTTTTTCTGGGGGCGGGACCCTCTTAGAGGTGGTTGTCCGTTCAACCGGTCCCTATGATAGTTCAACCACTGATTCAGTACCACTCCATTTTATTTCCTTATATTCATTACAGACTGCAGTGATGGAACTAGCAAAGAAGTAGTAAAACCAGCTTTTCTGATGTCCTATATTCAGCCTGCAGAAGATGTCATAGAAGTTAAATGTAGCTTTAGATATGGTCTGACCTACTTTCAAAACAGATATCGTAGCTGTCTGGAAACAGACTTTAACAGAACCTGGAATGAATACTTACATGGTTTTGGTAAAAAACATGGTGAATATTGGTTGGGATTAAAGCATATTTATGATATATTACAAAATCATAATTACTTTCAACTGAGCGTTCTTGTGGTAATTGATGGAAGTGCGTTACAAGGCTATTACGAAAGATTTAGTTTGTCAAATTCAACTGACGGTTTTAAGTTTTATTGTGATAGCTATGCACCTAATGAGAGGAAACCACTCGAGGATGCATTTATCAATGGGACCAATTCTATACAAGGTCGACCATTTTCTACTTATGATCGTGACTTCTCTAACAACAACTGCCCAGAGACGTTGAAAGGTGGATGGTGGTATTTAGATGTTTCAGAATGTTCCAGAGCAAATCCGAATGGAAGACGAAGTGATTCAGATGATGAGTCTAAGATCCAATGGCTTGGTAACGATAATATACATCAAGTTCAGCTACGTCTTGCAAGGCGATAGGCCCATCTCCAAATGGATCAAAAACCATGATTTGTAATACGAACCCCATGATGTCGACCCACACTTTTGCTGAATTTTGATTGAAAAGTCAACCGCTGTCAGTTCTTTCGTTTTCTTCTTGTCTACAATTCCAGAAATACGCATCGATATAACTGATTAGATTCGAAAAATTCATCATCCGGAGCTTGTACAAGTCGAAATACCCAATTTCCGGAGCGTTTATAAGTCGAAATATCCAACATCCGGAGCCCGTGTATGACGAAATACCCTTCGTCCTGACCCTGTATAAGCCGAAAACCTAAACCTATATTTGTCAACATATCCGCCGTTTGGAGCTGGTATGCGTCTTATTTAATTGTTAGGAACCAGGAGTAGGATTTTCAAACATTTTTAGTGATAAATATATACTTGGACATGAATGCCGTGAATAACGGGAAAAGTCGCAGCAACGATTACCTTAGATCACAATAACGGAATAAAAAGAAAAGAAAACATTATTACATTATGGGGTTTCATTGATCAGATAATAACAAAGGTTTGTTTGATATTCTAAAGAAACTATATCAAGGAATATATAAATTATAACAACATACAGTAAACAACTGAGTTTTCATTGATTACTAAAAGTTGATTGTTCAGGGAATTCGTATAAGAATAAGCTAAGACAAAGCATTTCCTTTCCTTTCTTAGCTTTTCAAAAAAGGGATGGGTTCGCCTCCCGTTTGCCCAATCGTACATCAGACTTAGAAACCGGGATTTTTTTATCTAAACTAATCAGTTTTAGTGTTCACTGCTCAAAATCGAAATTTGAGTCTTCAAATCCACGTGTGTTCAGAATTATCCGTGTCGTCGTTTCTTGAGACTCTGTCATATAGAAAAGACATATATAAAAGTAGAAAGTGAAATTCCTAGCTAAAGATATTATTGAATGAGGAATTACACGATACATTTCTAGCAGACTATTTACATATAACAAATCAACATCCAATAATGGCGAATATCTCCCTGCTATCTGATTTATCATTAACCATAAACAATAGAAAGATAACTTACGAAAATCCTAAAAAGAAAAATTGTAACCAGTTCCATGTAACCATAAGAACCAGAAAAGATAACGGTAAACCATATCCCATCCATGTTGCATACGTAACGGGATTCTTCAACCCATGTGCCGCATACAATCTAAATAAGACAGGTTACGTGTGTAGAGAACAGTTCGAGCTATTTAGTTTCATATATTTTTACTTGTTTTGACAGTATCTTTTAAATGAGTTTTATGATTACAATGTTGACCCAATACATTTCGTTTTCATACGCCATAAAATCCACACGAAAGAGAGTTACGGTCTACCTAAAAGAGACAAAATATCTGAGAACTCAACAAAGAAAAAGGAGTACCAGAGATAGCTTAAATAAGTACCTACTTGGAAGCTCATTCTCAAAAATATATACAAGAATAATTTAAACGGCAATTATTGTGTACAATAAGAGGTTTATCTATAAAGTAATTTTATGCTCTACTTTTTGTGATCAGTCGTCTCCCTTTTACCGACTTTTTCAATTTGCACAAATATTTTTATCCGTATGTAGGGCCTACTTCTATTTATCGAAGTTGGCAAACTTATATGCCATTCTAAAGGTGACAATATTATTTTGTTCCGGCTTCGATGGGGAGCCATTCAGAGAGTTTGATTTTAATTTATTGCACTTGTGGTGCTCAAATACAAACAATTTACTGCGTTTAAGATTTTTCCATTCAGACAAATACTTCCCAGTTTATTTACATAGATACGGTTGAGTTGAAGTATTTACGAGAGAAGTTGTGCACCATATACCTTTACGAAACCATTTTTGGGAAATCAGACCATAACCAGTTACTTATCTTGTTATGGAGTATATTATTGTATATTTTACTCGAAACTAATGTAAGAGAGATTCCCCTTTATTTTGGTTAAATATATCATCTCTTCCTCGTGGTCTAATAACACTCATAGTATATTTAAGTGTGAATGTAGGGCACAGAATTTGTATAAATTCCCCTTGCTTTATCTGAAAGTATCTCCGCAATATCAGCTATTTCTTACTTCGTACTTATACCTTGACTACATTAGTAACCTTTCTTGTATCATGCAAGTTTGTTAATGTTTCATTGGATTGTATGCAGCGAATACAGCCAATTAAAGACTTCGACAGAAAGTCTGTGAACAGAAAGCCTGATTGGCTGTAGTCGCTGGCGTACGTAATCATAATAGCTTGACATTATAAAGATGGGTTGATTATGGTCTTTGACTTATTTTCCAACCGTTGTTCTGTTCTATACTTACTCATCTGCAAATCCCTTCACCACTAAATTTGGTCCGGTTCCTGTTAAAGCACCAATTCCTCCACAGTTGGCAGCATAACAGATACACAATGAAATTGCTTTACATAACTTTTTGTACTTGATATCATCACCATCTGCAGCTTCTCTATATTTAAAAGATAAATCGTCACAGTATACCCAGGGATGGGTGGGTAGACGGAAGGGGTGGGGCAGTGATGCAATGACTGATGGTTTTTTAAATCATGTATTTGAACATCATGAGGTGTACTCCGGTCGACTTGCATTTCAAAGCATCCATTGAATTAGTCACAATCGACATAACATAATCTGCCATATTGATGGTTCTGATTCTACGGAAGCGTATTGGGGCCATTCATTTTTTTTTTTTTTTGAATTTTCAAGTTAGTATGTTGAATTTTCAAGTTAGTATGTTGAATTTGTCAAGTTAGTAACTTGAATTTTCAAGTTAATAACTTGAATTTTCAAATTAGTAACTTGAATTTTCAAGTTAGTATCTTGAATTTTCAAGCTAGTATGTTGAATTTTCAAGCTAGTATGTTGAATTTTCAAGTTAGTATGTTCAAGTTAGTATGTTGAATTTTCAAGTTGGTAACTTGAATTTTCAAGTTAGTATCTTGAATTTTCAAGTTAGTATCTTGAATTTAGTAACTTGAAAATTCAACATACTAACTTGAAAATTCAACTTAATAAATTCAACATACTAGCTTGAAAATTCAAGATACTAACTAGAAAATTCAAGTAACTAACTTGAAAATTCGAGTTACTAACTTGAAAATTCAACATTCTAACTTGAAAATCCAACATACTAACTTGAAAATTCAAAAAAAAAAAAAAAATGAATGGCCCTAATACGCTTCCGTATGATTCCCCATGTAGTTTATCCACATCCAAAAAAAAACTACATAGATAGATTTCCATAGCATATAATCAATCGGAAGATAGGTTTCACATACTTCTGAACTAACGGTCTAAACATCAGTACATAATCATGTTCCATGCATCACATGACCTACTGTTCATGTAATATTTGTCTCCACTTTAATGATAATGTACTTACCTACTTACACCAGATATATCTGTTATAAACTTACTCTCTTCATCCGAAATGTGATCTTAACAGAAGATGAGTTAACAACAGAACAACGATTATTATATTTGGCTTTAAAAGAGACGTCGACATCTATGAAGACGACTAAATCATTCCAGCCTAGAAATTACATCGTGGACTTAACGGATTCTAGCTAGCCCAATAGAAGGCGGTACTGCCTTTTTAGCGTCAGAATCAGTAATTTTGTGCAAGATTTTCATTATTTTTGGAAAAATTATAAAACCTATGCATAAACAGTTTTGTTTAAACGTATAAACGTAACATCTAGAAGTAAACGCCACTGTCATAGAGAAAAACAATTTCCATATTTAAAGAAACCTACCACTATCTGCGGTTTCTTCCTTGAGTAATATATTGGTAGCTTTCAGTTGTGCTAATATAGCTTGTGCAATAGGTATCATCATAGCAGTAGTAGCTGTATTACTGATCCACATTGATAAAAACCACGTGGGTAACATCAATCCTAACATTAACCTATCAATAGCAATAGAGGCAACATAATATGTTCATGTTCAAAACGGTCAAAGTGGTTTACAAGCGTAGCTTATATGAAAGGCGTGCCAATCCATAAATTATGTGTACTGATCGGAAGGAATTCCGAACCAAACCCAGTCGACTAAAACTAAGAAGTCTTCCAAGTACTATAAATAAATAAATTAACCAATAAGATTATGTATCCAATATAAATGTCTAGGTAAGGCTACGTACCAGCGAGGTTTGGAACCTACAGATAATAGTATCCTTAGTGCCAATAATTTATGGATGTCCCAAGTTTCAATTGCAGTTGCCATTATCAAACCACCAATAAATACCATCAATGTGTCCTGAAAACCCAATACAAATATAATCTCAAAAATGTTTTGTGCGAAATCATCTATCGTCAGATATGGTAGCAGTCATAGATACGATATGCTGAAACAGAACCTATACTGGTCATAGTAAATGGATGAAGCTGCCAAAGAACGAAGCAGCCATAGCCAAGTTAAGAGCTCATGTGGAGAACAGCGCAGTGAATCTGTAATATTGCAGCACCTAATACATTTTTTTACAGACTGTCTGATTAAAATGTAAATATGAATGTTTGGTTGTAAATCCACTTGCTATTATTGTCAATCCATAGATGGCAAGTGTAGAATAAATTAGGAATAGAAACATCCAGATCAGAATTCTTTTCAGAAGACTTACAGACATATATGCTGGAGCTATGTCCTTAGCTTTAACCACGCCTAACATTGGAAATAGAAATATCGGAAGCATCGCTGTTACTGCTATTGGTACTGCTTCCGTTATCCATAGAACCGCCATCAATATCAGAACAAACGCTGCCTTAGCCTCCTACAAAAGACAATCGAGGTCCTATCTAAACTCAGGTAAAAATCCATAGAGAACGAAAGAACGAGTTTTTCAAGGGCAATATACATTGAATGAGTGTCCCATAATTCTACGCTTTTACTAGAAATACAATGCCACGTCTGAAACAGACGATGGGTTAATTTTATCAGTTACTTTCCTACTATCCAATCCCCTGTCTGTTTGGTAATGATCTTTACCAACTTATTTTTATACCAGAATGCACCATTGAGAGGATATCATTTGGTCACCGAGTATTGCACATCATTTCAATGTTTGAAACACCTAACAGGTTTATTTTTCAAATCCAATATTGATCCATTTTAATCCCTTCAAAGGTAGAAAATTGATCCTATGTTCTATTTAGTAAAGACTATTAATTCATAACTTTACACAATTTAAGCCATTCAAGTTGTAACCTCTTATATACAGTAAGATTCTATTTCATACTAAGACTGTTTTCTACAATACTATTTGTACCATAAACAGTGTTTTAATTTCTCCTTTTTTGCAACAAGCCCACAGACGTAATATTAGTGTATACATAATATCGAAATAAACGATTACTCACCAAACCAAATTATGAAATCGATGTCCATTGTTTTATTGACTGAACATTACTCTATTGACATATGCTATTGTAGACGATATATGACCAAGGAATTAACTCTTTTTCAGTAACCTGTAGCACAATAAACCGACATTCCCTCTAAACCGTCATTTTTTATTGGTCAGGTGGGATGCCGTTTAGAGGAGTTTCAGTGTACCATGTAAACTTACCACTGTGCCTATATATAAAGGTAATGCTAGAAGGAGTAATGGTGTTAAAACCATAATAAAAAGAACACGAATACTCCATAATTGTCTCAATACAATCGACAACCCCATCACATAAACTTAGCTTATCCGACTTCTTGCACATTATACTACAGCTTATAATATCATACTCAAATTATGTAATGTATTTATCATATTAATTCATAAAGAGAAAAAAACTGACTTTGCATTAATTAGTCTACACTAGTCATATACCTACAATGTTATGCCCCACTTGTTGGCTAAGGTCAACACTATATTTGGATTGACTGGAAATAATCAAGCGAATGGATTAGATGGAAGTCTTTGAAATGGTGGAAGTCAATGGATTCCAACTTCAGCTACATGCTATCTAAAGAGATGAAATTTTTGTAGAGGGATTGTAAAGAGGTTTTCTGAATCTTTTTTTGTGTATCGAGGACGCTGATAGATTCAATTTGCACCATTCCAATTTTCAATCATACGTCTTTGGTTCCTGCAATTCCACTATAACTAGACGTTTTATGACGTCACTAATCCCGAAGTCTTTATTATGATACAGTATATTTTGCGATTAGTGACGTCATCTAACGTTTCAGTGGAATTGAAAGAACCACAGATATGCTGCAAATTGATGCTATCAATGTCCGCGATACACATAAACAATTTAGAAAACCTTTTTTACAATCCCTTTAAATACACATAAACATTCAGTAATAGAAAATAAATACATAAATAGAATAGATATAAAATACATAAGCTTTCTTCCTAACATCGACCATAATAGTCATTAAAATAAAAGGTTTCAGGTTTTAACAATAGGAAACTTTGACACAGATCGCAAGGCTAGTGGCAGATTATTCCATTTTAGTGCACCACACTCGATTTAAGTTTTCTTTCCACCTTGTAAGAGAATTGTTTTAGTTTCATGTCAACACTATTCCCGGTACTATATGTCGAATTATGGTCGATGATGCAGTTCATTTCAATTCATACTCGGCTCCTCCACTTAATGACCCATAAAAACACCACATACTTGGCGGGGGTAAGAAATGACCACAACTATCTTTAATGATAAAATATATGGTTCAATTGGTTTGTTTACGTTATTATATTGACCTTGTATTTTTGAAAGGGACTGTTTCTCAATACGGAAGGATATTGTTCAGTTAACACATTTTTGTTATCTTTACAAAATAAAAATTGCGTTATTGTTGTTATTCAGTATAAGACTTGAGTTACAATTTTACGGATCTTAGTTTTGAGTGACACTGTATAGTGTATAAAAGTAAGTTGACATATTTTTATTTTTGAGTGTGTTTACCTTGATTTATTGTAAAATATATAGGCCATGGGATTTCTGTACTCTTTCTAGGACAAATTCATTCTATGCTGGCATGGACTATCTGTCTGTAATCATTAGATAGCTCTCAAATTCGACTTTGAATTTCGTGTTCTGATTATATATATGAACTATTTACATAGACTTTTGCTTATTTGAATGCATGGACTACGATAGTTGAGGTGGGTTTGGTTTCAGTTCTTGCATACTTCTGATCTGGTGAGAAAATAACACTTTCTGTCATTACTGACGGGTGTAATTGACTGACTGACCTACTGACGTGTAACGGAGACCTTGCTTCTGTGAATCAATTTTGAGAGTCAATAAAGAATTTCAATTTGTCCAATTTCTTTTCACATGAATTGCAGTTCTAGGTATTGTCTATTTGGCTTCTCTTTACAACATACCATTCGTCCGGAGGACAATACATTGGCATGGATATATTTCAAAATTGCACATAGCCCACAATAATTTGTCGATACAAACTTTATTGGGTTGTTGACAGGTCGCTGTGACACAATATCAAACTAGAGTCAATAAGCGAAAACTTGTTTTCATCCGAATAAGACATAAAATATTGCGTAGTTTGTTGAACACATTTCAACATGAATATATTGTATAATAATATCAAAGCTTTTTTTCATTTCAAAAATAGTCAAATTGCATGAAAGGCCTCATGTAATTATTTTTCGTTTTTTGACCTGCAATGTAAGATAAAAAATAAACTTGTTGACCCGGAAGTAACAAAGTAATAATAGTGTTAAATTCTAGAAACCCCACTGTTTTAACATTACAGCTAATCCTAAAATCAAACAAGTTAAAATACATAGCAAATCATCTCGATAAAATACGAAAACATCTAATTGACTAAAAATTTAAAAACCCAGTCCCTTTGTTCGGTATCTGGTTTTTCGGTTAAAGAAAAAAGAAATAATAATTTTGTTTTGAAAAATTAACCCATATTCTTTAAAAAAAAAGTTAAGAATGAAGATAATGCTGGTAATTTTAATAAATAGGATTGGTAGGTACCAGTAATTGTTTTTTTATGCGCCCACATTTAATGAAGGGGGTGGGGTTTATATTGGCGTCCACAATTGCTCGTAAACACTCTAGGGGGCACAATTCTTATTGGTGTGAGTGTTTGTTATTACTAACGAAAATCAGAAAAATCTAAAAAATATTTAGTTATTGCAGTTGCTCTTGAAAATTTTTAGCTCGTAAAACTCTAGAAGACACAATTCTTACAGATTAGGTGAACCCTAACGAAAATCAACAAAATCTAAAAATATTAAGTATGAGTTATTGCCCTTGTTCTTGAAAACGCGTTCAATTTTTAGCACATAAAACACTCTAGAAAGGCAGAACTCTTAACAGATTTTGACGAAACTTGGTGTGAGTGTTTGCAATCACCCAAGGATTGACCCTATTGAAAATCAGAAAAATCGAAAAAAATTAGTATGATTTACTGCTCTTGTTCTTGAAAGCGCGTTAAATTTTCATAAGGCACAATTCTTGACGGATTTTGACGAATCGTGCTGTGAGTGTTATAGTTTTATAGGAGTTATTGACTCTGTTCTTGAAAACGCTCGTCTTGCTGGTCTTTGACAAAACTTTATTAATATATTAGTAATATTATTAAAAATGACCTTAAAAAGTATGAGTGAAGGTTGAATATTTCATACTGATCATTGTTACTGTACTGCTAAATATTTTTATTCAAGGCTGTCAGTTGGCGTATATTACCTTGCCTGTCATCACGTAGATAAAAGAACTGTCTCAGATGAAATCTAAATCTAGGGATGGACAAAGGGTTTTTAATTTTCAATTTATTTGTCTGTCGATGATAAGTGTGTTGGTCATGTTAACCTTGACTATGTTAACAATAACAGTGTCTCTTTAAAGGGCAGTATGCATAATTTTTGTAAGCTTCAAATTGTATATACATTCTAATTCTCTAGATTTAGGTGTATAGTTTTCTCAAATTTGAGCTTAAAAAAAAAAAAAATTGACCTACGAAAAAAAAACATGCCCCTGTAATCTATGGTCCATTAAAAGATTTTCACATTACATGTTAAAATATTATGGAGAGCTTGTTATTTTAGTGGACTTAAGATAAGCTATGTCAGGTTATGTCAATGGTCATGCTGATCACAACTTAACTAGAATTTGGACAAAATATGAAGTAGGTCTAGATCTAAAATTCAATTATTGACCCAACTTATCATACCTAATCTTATCTGTCGATAGCACAAGGAAAACTCCTTAAGATTTACAAGCGTTATTTTCCCTATGTGGTTGGCGATTGCATCAGGCCCCTACCCCTCGGGCATGTCAGACCAATTTTGAGTGAAAATTAGACCCTTTGAATGCCGAAATCCGTTGGCCTCAAGAAGATTCGGCCTACGGGTCTCGCTTAGTAAATACTCGTCTCAATTACGCCCCCAGTTAGGCATTTTTAAATATGTTCCTGGTATCGCTTACTCTTCTAGACAACTTTTCTTTTAGAAATATCTTTATCTTTAATTGATAAACTTCTTCGTATGAAAAGTTCATTTGCTGCTACTAATGTATAACTGTTATTTTGTATTTCGGGTTTTCTTCTGTAGTTCAGATCGGGAGAAAAGGGATCCCAGGAAAACCCATGTCAGAATCTGGACGTCGCCCGAGCGTTATTATTATATTGCAATGTAAATGACAATATACCCTATTTTGAAATTTTTGTTGTTGTTGAAACGTCTCCATAAATTACTCCAGCAAAGTTTTGGTTCTACAAAGTTGTTGCCACATGATCGGGGTGAATTGACACACTGTGAATATTAGTCAGGTTAGAGGTAGTCAGATTAGTCAGGTAGGATCAAAGTTTGTATCTTAGACACAAAAACGGAACGCAAACAGCTAGTGCTGGGTATAATGGCAGTACGATACAAGGGTCACGATTGGTGCTGGGTAGCGTATAGGGGTCGAGATACGATACATATCGCGATACGGGGTGATGGGAGAAAAATTAACATTTTATCTTCAAAGTTTCCATAGCCTATATATTAATTCATAACTTTGTAACTGTGATATTTGGTAATGTAATTGGAAGTGGTCCGCTGTCTTATAAATAGTTTCTAACAATTTCAGAGAAAAACACTTTTTTATATCATAAACCAACCTATAAAAATTTTATGGAATGAAAGGTATCATCAACTATCGGTACACGACGTCGCTACGTGTATCGTGGCATGCCGTATTGCGATACATCCATTCACCTTCATATCGTGCCAGCACTAGTCACCATACAATACATATCGCGAAATAGGGTAATGGGATAAAAATCAACATTTAATCATCAAAGTTTCTATATATATATTAACTTTATAACTGTGATATTTGGTAATATAGTTGATAGAAGTGATTAGTGTCCAGTGTCTTATAAAAAGTTTCTAACAATTTCAGTGAAAAAAAATTGTTATATCATAAACCAACGCCACTTTTTATGGAATGAAACATTGAAAGGTATCGTCGATACACGACGTCGCGATACGATACGAGTATCGTGGCATGTCGTATCGCGATACATGGATTCACCGATATATTGTGCCAATACAAGAAACAGCATCATGTAACGCTATGTAAACCTTCTTACAGGTATTACTACAGGGCAAATCTTAGTTTTTTTTACACTAAGTATGGTAGATATCTTATACAAGAGCAAGTGACCAAGAAATATTTAGCTACTCACTCATCATTAATAAATGAATTTGAACTACATAATGAACAATCGATTTACATCAAATACAAACAGCGATAAGTAGGAATAAAAATGTCTTACAAAAGAGTGCAATAACGCATCAATTCTGATTTTAGACATGCTCGTGTGTACTTATGTGTTTTCTTTAACCAAATTTTTATTGTGGTTATACCATTCTAACCTGAAGATGTTGACATTCAGCTGCTTCAGATGACATAACTTATCAAGGTTCGGTTACGACTCGGGTCAAAGATAACATTTCGTTATGTCAGAAAGAGGGTCGAAGGCTGATAGGATTTGAACAGATGAGACACATAGTCCTGGTCAAAAATCATGTCGGAGCATTTCCAGTCTGCGGTCGCAAAGGAAGAATGACCCATAGATGGTCTCCGCTCAAGGTTCGGATCCTGTAGATTCGGTTCTTTCACAGTAAATCAATATCATGTACCGTTAAATACCGGACATGAATACATGGGGTTGAAAGTTGACTAACCAAAACGCAAAGTGAGAGCTATTGTAAAGCTTTGAAGACATACTACACTTGTATTAATACTTCTTGATACTCTCGTTATATTATGCATAATCATACATAATACATTGATAATATGATAATGATTTACCTTGAAACATGTCAGAGCAATAAATAAAAGTTTGCTTTATTTGTATGATCATAATATTATTATTAAGACAATACTTTAAACAAATGTAAGAAATTCAGTTCGAAAATGGCCAAAGACCAAAGGTAAGATACAGTAATCGATTGTAATTGACGGTAGGAGCAACTCAGAAGACTTTTTTGTTATAAACAATATTTCATTAATACATTAAATGGATTGGGGAACAGGCTTATGTCTATATAACCCCTCTCCATGAGGATATGAAGACCTCGGGTATTGTAACACTATATATCACCCCAATTAAATTTCAGATATCACCCGATAGAGGTGAAGATGGTTATACCAAACGAAACCAATGAGGAAAGCCAGACAGTATCAGACACTGATGTAATATTGAAGGTACAACCTTCAAATCTTTCTCAGTTATGGGCTTTACGAAACATTTTGATTGTGGTGTTGGTACCTGTCATAGCTTTGCCCGCATTTCTCGTCGTTGACATATCGGTAAGCATTTTATTTTTGGTATCTTTTATTAATAAATTTTGTACTGCTGTCGTATGTGTCAATACATTATTAGACTACAGCGATTCCAAAGTCCAAGTAGAATATAAATCCTACAACATACAAATAGCAGTATAACAAACACATTCATGACAGTGCACAATAAAATCATCAAAAGAACCAATTATGTAACAAAATAATGACGGACGACAAAGCAATCAAAGAGTGGTATACGCCCACATGGCAGATAACTCCAAACGTTAGCACAAGGCCAAAATGGTATCCACCACCTACAACATTATTTTTTCGATCTGATTCAGATGTAATTAAGTTTGAATGTTTCGTTTCGCATTCTCTCTGCTTGGGGCATTTGATGTGCCGGGGTCAATTGCCACAGATCGCGATTTAGAGCCAGATTTAAGTTCACTTCTGAAAATGTTGAATCATCAAATTTGCGAAAAAAATTATAAACATTGTCTCCGAGACTTAAATCCTCAAAAATCACATATTTCCATTTGATAATTATTAAATCACGAATTCACATTTATGTGCCCGTCGTGCTTCCTATCGAGTGAGCTATGTTCATTGGTCGGTGAACAGGATATTCTACATCCGTCTCGCTTTCAGAGAAATATATATTCAGATCTTTAATACAGTAGTATATGTTGATTTTTCTATTCCTTAGAATTCTAAATATTTAAAGAGCCGTCTAATCCTAATTTTAAAAATGGAATGTCTGGCTTGTCTTTTTCTCCGTCGGAAGTGATGTATTTCGCACTCTTATTTAATCGATCAACTGTCGGATAGGCTTCTAATAGGGCGGAAGAATAGGGTAAGCTAATGTTAGCATAAGAGAAAAGACTGGAGATCGCAACTAAGTAATCATTTTAGATAAAGAATTAATGTTTATACACAGCTACTTTAAATATACCATTTAAGTTATTTGATAGCATCCGTTGTAATTAGGGTAATAATAAGTGTTTAATTATGACATAATTACTCCTGTCAAATTACTTATTAATTATATAATTCGTGGTTGGAGACACTTGACAAATATGGCGTTGCCTTCCTTTTTTCGACAAATTTGGACTATACGACATATTCTTGTAGTTTTGTTTACTCCGATTATCTTCTTGCCTTTTCCACTTGCGGTGGACTATCCGGTAAGATTAATTTTATTGGCTAAACTTAGGCGTATACAGATCTTTTTGAAGTTTATGGGAAGTCTTATTGATCAAAATCGAGCAACAAGCACATGTAATGTAGTTTGCTTGTGAAATTGTTAAAGATACTGCATTGGACGCATTTGTTTCCTGGAATCTTTTGGCAAAGTTGAAATTCCCACAGCTAAGCAAAGACTATCAGTGGTTGGCATTGTAGCACTAAAAATCTACAGGACCAGTCTGTCTATGTCATGCAATGATATGATGATATCCATTAATATTATATGCCTCTATGAGACTTTTAAAAAGAGATAGACAATTGGGCTCCATAAATGGACCTTTGGGTAAAACCGATTACTTAAGTTAGACTTTATAAACACCACCATGAGAAGTTCACCATTGTTAAGTTCATTTTGCCCTTTTCCCCATTTAAGGCTGATCTTCCGTATATCCGCACCACTTTTCAGAATGAAAATTTTACGCCTGGTTCGTCTGTTGTTGAAGGAGGATATGTCACCGTAACGATAGTCGGGGATTTGATAGAAAGCTTAAAATGACCCAGTCACTTCTGTGAGAAAGCCTTTCTTTGATTAAATACGACCAAAAGTCTTTGATAACCCATCTACTGTTTTTCTAATAGGAAGCAAGATGTGCATACGTCATCATTATCATGGCAGTATACTGGACAACCGAAGCAATACCAATAGCAGTGACATCCCTTTTACCAATTGTTCTGTTCCCCATAATGGGAGTTTTAACAGCAAAGCAAACTTCCGGTGCCTACATGAATGTAAGTTTTACAGGTGCCGTTTATCATTATCATTATCATGTATAGTAAGTCATTGAATAAAACTGCCTTTTTGAGAACCCGTTCTGACCAACAAATCTACTATTATTAGGTACTAGCTTGTTGGATTTTCTATTTGTGTATGCTCATTCCAGTCTTTAAGTTGCAAATAGATGGCAATTTCAATTGTTTGTTTTCTGATATTTTCGCCTTCATTGTAATCCAACATTTTTTTCTACCACAGGCTCGTTCTAATGACTTTATTCTTAACCAATTAAAGCGTGTTATGTTTCTTCCTAACACTGGAAATCGTGGGATAGCGAAAACCACAGAGGGTGTCATTTTGTTTCACTTTGTGTTTCGCTATCCCACAATTCTTCAATTGTTTGTTCTTCGCACCTTTTGTAGACGTTAGTCACTCCAAAATTTTAATGGGTCGTAAGGATGTTTTTGTCTGTTCATTTAGGACACATCAATGTTATTTTTTGGTGGTTTGATGTTGGCGGTTGCAATTGAAGTCTGGGATATTCACAAACGATTGGCTTTATTGGTTTTAATGAAAGTTGGTTCTGAGCCGAAATGGTAACTATATGCAGATATTATCATTTCATGTTATGGTTGTGTACTCTATATATCATTAGCTCACATCACGGATGTGACGAGGGTCTTATAACCCACGATTCATTTTTGTTGAATAGAAAGAGATCAGGAAACTTGAAACGACATGTCATTGTTGTATTAAAGGATTAAGTGTAATCAAAAACTCACAGATTATGTTGTGAGATCAACATTGTGGATTGCTAATCTGTTTTAACTAATTCTTTCAGGTTATTGTTAGGTATAATGGGAGTTACTTGGTTTTTATCAATGTGGATCAGTAACACAGCTACTACTGCTATGATGATTACAATAGTTCAAGCTATATTACAACAGATAAAAATAGCAGACGCTTCCACAGCTGAAGACAATGGTACGATCCATATATTTATGTGACTTATGTGTTCTTCAGCAAGGGTATTCGAGTCTCCAACATATATTCGCTGCTCCTATGCGCTTTCCTTACGTTACCGTCACACCAAAATTGACTGTAGATGGTCTCACGATAAAATACACCCAGTTCTGGGTTATTAATGAAGGTGTCTTGTTTATTGAGACAGGTGAATTGACCTCACTAATAAAACCGATTTACATCAGTTCAATTGTCAGCCAGACGTATAAGACGCCACTTGAATTTATCAACATCTTTTGGAAATAGACGAGAAAAGACGAGTGATAAACTGAATTACTCTTTTGAAATGCTATCTTGAATTACAAAGAGTGAAAACGATGCATGCTTATTAAAAACCAAATCCACTGGCGAAAACTGACTAAAAGTAGTAGTAGATTTCGCGATCATTCCAGATAAAAAAGAATGACAAAGTCAACAGCTGTTGGAGTCAAGTAAAAAGTTTGTCTGTTTCAGATGTCGAAGCATTAGAATTGGAGCCTCAAGAAAAAGTGAAAGCTTATGAAGTCACCAATCCTGATACAAAAGCTAACTTGAACGAAAATAAACACAGTGAATCCCCAAAAGAGTGAGTAACTTGATACAATTTAACAGTATCTTTATATACAATCTCTATTTCACAATTTGAATTTCGTTACTCCAAAATAAATTTTTTTAGCTATCCTATTCTTTGTCATGTTATCAAAAAGCTAGTCAAACGGCCTCCGTGAAAGTTACGCTAGCGCTCTGCAACATATCAGGGTCATGAGTGGCCATATTTTTTTTACCAGAACTATGTCAGGGGCTGGTCTTTCAGGACTACAGGTCTTTGTAAACCAAGTCAATGAAAACAAAGCTTCCGTTAGATATGTACTCAAACTGATGATAAAATGTATCATTGGATAAACAATAGTCGAGGTATAGCATTAAATTCATAAGTAAGTGTCAGTATTAATTCCCAAAGTATCTAAATTTAAGGACAATATTTACGTCGCAATATATTACCTTCACTTGACAAATCATTGCTAGATACTGGAAGTAAAGAAGATACAACAAAATTCACCATTGATTACCGAGTCAGATTCAGCTTACGGAAACTACCGAGAACAGCCGAATGGAAACGACATGAAACGCTTTGATTGCTTAAAATAACATCATTAGAACGGGGCCGTGGTAGAAAGCTGGTTAGATTATTTAAGAAGATTTCGTGAATTGCAATTATCACATACATTAATTGAAAGGTTGTCATGAAACCAGACCATTATGATCTAGTTTATATTTCGTGCTTTATCATAAGGTCATTCATTATACATTTCAGACAGAAAGGAAGCAAAGGAGCCAAAGTTAATGATGTTTTCCATACCAGAATCTCTAAATGTATGTGTCTAGCAGTAGCGTATTCAGCCAATATTGGTGGTATTGCTAGTTTAACTGGTACTGGTCCTAATTTGATCCTGAAAGGTCAGGCTGACATGTAAGTGTTCATACCAAATTTCTGAAGTGATCTCACACCATAGCGATTACCAGTTGTGTATGGTTGTGAATAATGAAAATGGTTATGAGTTTTCAACTACTCATTTACACGTGAGTTGCCCTTTAGGCAGATGCTTACAAGTTGATATTAAGATATTACATATAAGTAGAACGAATTCAAGGTATTTGCCTGTAAAGGAGTGGTTAAGGTTTCTGAACTTTTTATGAGTATAGGGGACACTGATAACATCGATTTGCACTATTCCAATTTACAGTCCGTGGTTCTTACAATTCCACTGAAACTAAGCCGCTTATGACAATTAAGAACCAAAAATTAAACAGCTTATACGGTTAAGCATTTCTGTAATTACAGGATCCAGACATCTGACGGAAAATAGGAACTATGCAAATAAGCCATAAATGGCAGGGATACACAGATAAAGTAGAATACCGTTAACAAATCCTTTCAGTAAAGTAGTCTGGCTTTCGGAGGAATTGTCTGAAATATTTCAGGTAGTCCTAAAACTTCCAAACCTATATTTCATACCGGTCTCTTTCAGTGTTTTCAATGATTATGGACTAACATCGCCTATAAGTTTTAGTACGTGGATGGTTTATGGTCTTCCACTATCACTAATTGTGGTGGTTATTTTGTGGTTTTGGCTACAGGCATTTTTTCTACGCTGCAAGTAAGTTATTTCAATTTTTTCGTATTAAAACATATTAGTCTATTATACACATAACACTGTTTTGAAAATACATATATCTAATGTAATATTAACCCTTTAGACTTGGATGATACTTGGATAATACTTGCATACTTCTTTACTTTAGAGGATTTACGACGTGTCGAAGAAAGAAAGATGGTAAGGATACAGTGGCTGAAGTTATAGAGTCAGAGTACAGAAAACTGGGCAAAATAAAGTAAGTTGGACATGGTTTTACACATTTTCATAAAGCTTGGATCGTCTCTTAATTTTCGATGTGGAACATTTGTTCACAATATGCTAAAAAATTAAACGGTTTTCGGTCCATTGCATCCTTGTGTGGTTCATTACTTAAAAGCAGTATGATTATCCGCGGCTTGCACATAGACAATGATTTGCACATTGGTAATTTGTTTTCCTATATTTGATTGTGTGATTTGCATCCAAATTTGTAGAGTTCTTTTCCTGCTTGATTTACCATATCATATACATGATCGTTATTTTCTGTGATATTTTTGACATGGATAAGATCGGATTGACAAAGGTCCTGTTTTCTACAGTGTGTGCGTGTTAAATATCCGTCTGCAGTTGGAATGTAAATCTCAAACAGTGTGACAAACTTAATGTTTATATCATTATATTTTCAGTTTTCCCCAAATTACTGTAGTTATATGTTTTACTCTGTTAGTCATTTTATGGATAACACGTGATCTTGGTGGTATAGGTGGCTGGGGTAGTGCTTTTCCACCAAAGTAAGTATATCAGTAGGGTAGGCATATAATCTTATATTATTTTGCTTAAGGGCTATGGGCACTAACATATAGATTTGAGAGGGATGTTACTATACTTCCGGTACATCTACAAATGAACAGTCGGGATAGCGATAGCAATTCGTGGCTAAGAAAACAGTAAGCTTATTTTTTTTACAGGACAGTTTCTGATTCTACGCCAGCTATTTTAATTGGTATACTATTGTTTATTCTACCGACAGCAGTACCGAATGTATTCTGCTTCCGGAAATCGGGAGGTTGGTAAAGTTTACACAATCTAGATAATTCATAGCCGATATCAAATCCAGAATATTTTATTGTTTTAAATGCCCTGGAATGGTTCAACCAACTAATGAAAGTCACAGAGGCTAACATTGAAATAGTACCTTGACGGTCGGATGGTAGATTATTTCGAGACCCCCTGTACTTAAAACTGGACACATTTAAGATCCAGTTGGAAATGTTCCTTCCGATCCTTCAAGATGATACATGTATTTTATATTTTACAGACTGTTCAAATGCTGTAGTTAAACCTTTACTTACTTGGCAAGATCTGCACGAGAAGATGCCCTGGTCATTGTATCTTCTGTTAGGGGGTGGTTATGCTATAGCTAAGGCTTCTCAGGTAGGTTATTACTATAGAACTGAATAGATAGTTCCTAATACGATCAATATCCTACAGGAATATAGTAGTCGGGTCATAGCTTTTTTAGCTATATAAACTTATTACTTTTATGATTTAGCGTCCGTTTACTCAGATTTTGCTCTTCAGATTTGAATTGCAGTTTGCCTTATGAATATTAATTAATTGTTTTAATGACATTGGTGACATTGACATATGACCCCTCCACAGAATTGCCGCATGTTGAATTCAACTTCGAAATATGCCGCCTATTTGTATCCCTGCCTCGAGAGACTGGCTTCGCCATTGCTTTTAAGTAGTCAGAAGGATGAACTTAGATTGACAGAAGAATTCCGTAAGAGCCTGTATAATATGTGAACACTACATTTCGTGTTGCAATATATTAAAGTCTGGAGTCTTTGAATAGAATCATTTTATTTTATTTCAGGAATCTGGTTTATCAGAAATGGTTGGTACGTCGTTACGAGTATTTAAAGATTTGAATCCCTGGTTAATGTTGATGATACTGTGTTATATTATAACATTTTTAACTGAAATAACCAGTAATACAGCTATCTCAACTTTAATGATGCCCATATTAGCCAGTTTGGTATGTACTCTATGGGTGTTTCAAAGTAAAAGATAAACAGTTCAGTGCTCAAAGCACATCTGACGAGATGTATGGCATGGAAAAACTTAAACGACATTAAATTAAAATACACCATTGCTCCAGTAAACTAATGCATATCAGTGGATATGGCTCAGATTGCTGTAGAGACATTTCACAAGCAATTTTGTTCATCTTACTTTCAGGCTTTATCGTTACAAGTTAACCCTCTGTACTTCATGTTTCCGGCCGCCATTACCACGTCTTTTGCTTTTATGTTGCCAGTAGCCACACCACCAAATGCAATAGTGTTTTCCTTTGGACAAGTAAGAGTTATAGACATGGTAAGTTTGAATATTATATCCATTAAGCTACCATGTTCTACCTAAAGAAATTTTTTATCTGTCTTTCATTTTTATGTAATTGTCCGTATATCTGTTTTTGGTTGGCAATCTTTATTTTGATGGGTTTAGCTGTCACTGAACATTGATGTTTTAAGATTGTTTATCAGCAGTCTAGAGTGGGTGACCTAAATGGTTTTTATTATTCCCTTAATTAAGACATGGTGGCTTTAAGACAATAAAAGGTGTTGCTAATACAATGTTACGTTAATTAAACAATTTATCTTTCAGGTGCTGGCCGGTCTATTCATGAACATCGTATCTGTCCCAGTATTACTTCTCGCCACAGCGACATGGGGCAATTCTTTCTTCCATTTCACTGACGTTGATCCAGCGTTCTTGGCTTTCAATGAAACGACAACGCTTGCTACAATCTAAATAGTTCATAGCACGTGTTCATTATCACTCAATAAATCCATTCCACCATATGCAGAATGCAGAACATCATTTCATATTTTTGAGAGGATTGGCTTGTAATTTCTCTTCAATTCAGGAACAGGTTCGCCATTTTCGGGGGTTGATATGGAGTTTGTATATATGTAAATAGTCTGCAGAAGTACCAGAAGTGGAAAAATCACGCAATTCCTTCAAAAATACACCAAACTAAAAATTTCACTTTTGCCTTTTGAAAGAATATCCCAAGTCTTTTGTTCTTTGCAGACAATAAATGGTAATGTTGACGCCGGATTTCATTTTGAAAAGTATTACGGACACCAAGATTTTTATCTGCCTGTAAATCATCAACTTATGTCGAAATTTTTGATGTAAAATTTAAAACTTAAGACAAATGTTTATCATAATATTCTGTGAGAAACGACGATCAAGTGCCTTAGAAAATTTGAAATGTTCCCATTTTTTTTGTAAGCATTATGCCTTATTCTTTATATGCATTTTTTATATTCATTGTGTAAATATTTACATAAATATTTTTCATTACATATATACATTACGCTACTATAAATTGTCATTTAAAACAGTCTGTGTTTATTGATTTCGATTTCAGCCTGGTTTGAAACTGGGCTAGATTAAAACAAGGTAATATAAGCTTCATCATACTGGGGTTATTGCCCCTTGATTTTGCTTACCCTACTGAGTTATTGTCCTTTTTGTTTTGCTCATTCGCACACGTACACGAGTTGTTGTCCTTTAGAGTTGCACGCTCGTACACGTACTTGAGTTGTTGCCCTTTAGATTTGCTCATTCAGACTCGTGCCTAAGTAATTGCCCTTTGGTTATTGGTTTGGTTTTATTCATTCACACTCGTACCTGGGTTATTGGCCTTTGGTTTTGCTCATTCGCACTCGTACCTGAGATATTGTCATACCTGAGATATTGCCCTTTGGATTTACTCATTTGTACCCGTATCTTAGTTATTGGCCTTTAGTTTTGCACGCTCGTACACGTACCTAAGTTGCCCTTTGGTTTTGCTCATTCGCACACGTACCTGAGTTATTGCCCTTTGGTTTTGCCTTTTGTGTTCAAGCCGGAATTGTCCGAAATATAAAGTTACTGCAAGGAAAACTGCCTTTGGCCTAATGTTATTTTGTAGGATACAGCTGATATGCCATTGAAAGCCAGTTACTAATGAAACCCCAGTTGCTAGACCAAGCGCATGCTTCCCTTTAAATGCGTCATGCTATATTATTATCACACGAATAGTAGGCCATTATAAAAAAAATGTTATCAAAAATATATGATATTAGATTAAAAACGAATCTGAATGGCATGATAACACCCTTGTGATACTGGCGTATGACAGTCATGGTAATCATGTGACTAGACCTTTATCAAATCCTATAAATATTTGATGATATCTGTTCAACATCACTATCACCATTTACACCAAGGTAAGTCAATGTTGATTCATGGATCTAATGCTGCTTGATTTAGTTCTTGTAGCATTGTATGGTATAGATCAAGATGTATATTTGAAGTCTTTATCATTGTTCTTGAATGCAATATATATTGTACTGTCGTCACTTCATTTAAGCCATTTCGAAGATTTTCTGCAAAGTAAAAGCGCCGTGTAATTGTGAGCGATTTGATGATATCCCAAATTCATGACTTTTAAGATGCTGAGATTATTGGTTGCTCTTGTTGTTGTTGCCCTGGCTGCTGCCATCAGAGAAGATCTGAATGGAGAATGGGAAATCTTCACTGATACATATGGCAAGAAATACGCCAGTGAAGCTGATTCTCAGATGAGGTAAGCAGTTTGTTTGTTGGTGCTGACCAAATTACAGAAGAGATCAAGTATTAAATAGTATCTTTTGGCAATATCAGCCTACATGTACGGTCAGAGGTATGATTCCGAATTCGATAGTTTTTAGATGGACGCTATCAACGTCTTGAACCAGAATCAGAAATGTATTCGATAAATTAAGTATGTGGTGATAGTTAGTGGGTGCTTATAAAAACATCGCACACCTATTTTACTCTTCACCACATATCCACCTTCTTTTTAGACGATTAATCTGGGAAGATAATCTGAAATTCATTCAACTTCACAATCTGAGAGCTGATAGAGGTATCCATACTTACTGGTTAGGTATGAACTCATATGGTGATTTGGTGAGAATATTCTTTTAATAATTCACAACTTTTTGATTTACACACAAACCTTTCCCAAGTCACATTTTTACCATACAGAGGTCATTTAGCATCTGCAACAATGGCCATATAGTAATGTTAGTATAAATACCAAAGGGATTTGCCAGTTTCTTTTACACAGACCAACCTCACATTTTCGAATACACCGTTCAATTGTCTCTATGTTCTTACTGGTCGATTTTCACGAGTGAATTAAGGGATGCTTTCGAACTTTGTGATTCCTTAGATTTGCGCCTGTATCACGTTAAAACTGGTTGATATTTGTTTCAGACACGAGAAGAAATCATTACCAGAATGAACGGTTACAGAATGAGAAACAAGACTCTTGGTGCTACTTATTTACCACCCACCCATACCAACGACCTTCCCACCAGTGTTGACTGGAGACAACAAGGATACGTTACACCAGTTAAAGATCAGGTACTGTTCTCCCTGTAAGCTTTACCAGGATCCATTTCACACAAAAAACATAAAAAACATGACCTTCGGCCAAGGTGATGTGTAATTCAAAATCATCAAAAAATCTCTAAAGAATCAAACAGATTTGAAGAAACATTTACAGTGCAAGGTCAGAGTCAATGGAGATGTTTGAATCACATGCAGATCAAAATAAAACTCTCCTCTGTGAGAATTGCATTGGGGTTTCTAAAGTACTACCTGGGGATTTAGCTTTCCTTTTCACAGCTAGTGCATGTATCCAAGTTTTGGAGCCAGGGCTGGAAATGTGCAATATTGACGTTTTCGCCAAGCATTAGCATTGATGCAGATCCCTTGGAATGGAACTAAGCTTGTGTTCGCGTTAAATGTGAATGATTTTCTGTCTTATCTTTTAAAACCTGAATATTAAAATATGTGACCTAGATGGAAGGGTTTAATGAACCAGTTTTGATATGTTATCAATAATGATATAGGTTATCTGTTTTTAATCGTTACGAAATAAACATCCTTTAATCTGAATACCTGAACTTTGTACAATTTCTATAAATTCAATCTTGCATCATGTCAATAGATTTGTAGATGATTGCATGGGGACTATTATGATTATATCCAATTCAAATCCAGGTGCCTTCACTTGCCATCACCTATATAATCAGAATATATACCAGTATTTAGATTTAATCCTTCAATAACTTACAAATCAAATGATCTGTTTGGCTGTTGCCTTGATGTCAATGCGAGACGTTCTTTATCGAACACATGCTTGTATTCTTTTGGAGTAATGAAGACTTTCCTGTGATAAAGTTTTACTCAAACTATTTTTTTCCCTTACATACTGAACGTACCTGAAAAATTCTATTTATAGAAACAATGTGGTTCATGTTGGGCTTTCTCCACAACTGGTTCATTAGAAGGTCAACATTTCAAGAAAAATGGACAACTTGTATCCTTATCTGAACAGAACTTGGTTGACTGTTCCAAACCAGAAGGTAAAATACGACTCAATTTTCTGAAGATGGACCTTTACATAACATTAAATAAGATTCAACCATTGTGCAGAGAGCAGGTTTAAAAATATAGGATCAGAAGTTTTATTTTTTCTAGCACGCATTTGACACATCTTGAATCTTGAGTTATGCCTGCTAATATAATAGCATTTTAGGATTTCCAATAAGATTTTTTATTTCTTCACAAGTTGATTTGTTTCGACAAATTTCCTTCCCCCATGGACATTGAACATTGTCATGTACGAAATCTGGGACAGCAAATTAAAGGGGAAAACTACATTCATTTCATCTCCCTAATAGGTAATCATGGATGTGGTGGTGGTTTAATGGACAATGCTTTCGAATACATCAAAACCAATGGCGGTATTGATACAGAATCAAGCTACCCATACATGGCTAGAGTGAGTATCTCTCCTGTCTTTCATCTTTAATAGTAGGCCTAATATTGTAATTGTCAAAAGTTGGCACTGAGCACGAATTTCTGTGCATTTTGCTTTCCTGAAAGACATTACAATAATTTTAGTCCATAAAAATCTTGAAATCAGCTCTTGAGTTTCGGAAAGATATAATATTATATTTTACATGTCTCTTAAAAATTAGAATTACTTAACTTGGTATATAGATACATCCTTCTATTTCATTTCTTGTCATTCTTTTAATAGAATTCGATGTTTTAGCCATTACTCTTCAGAATTGCTCAATGTTTCACTATATTTGGTTTTCACTTTCTGAAAAGTTGAGAATTGAATTAAAGAATATAATATTTCCAGGATGGCCGATGCCGATTCAAGTCTAGCAACGTCGGTGCCACTGATACAGGTTTCACAGATGTCAAACGAGACAGTGAATCAGATCTTCAATCAGCTGTTGCTACAGTTGGCCCAGTATCAGTCGCCATTGATGCCAGCCGATCCACCTTCCATTTCTATAAGACTGGTGTCTACAGCGATACCGAATGTAGCAGTATCAGATTAGATCATGGTGTTTTGGCTGTTGGTTATGGAACTGAATCTGGAAATGATTACTGGTTGGTCAAAAACAGGTGCGTACTTGTGACTAATTTGAAATAAAACCTCGGGTAGAAGACCAAATATTCCCAGGATGCATCAAAGGCTGCCACACCTTTGGTGATTGTCGGGTAATCTCTTTGTATATTAGTATTAGCTTAGTATATATCCTGACTTCATATCATAGCCACGCCTCTATTCTTATAAAATTTTACAGAGGCCATTCTTTGGGAAATATTTAACAGCACGGAACTGGGCAGGCTAGAGGTGGCCTAGTCTACCTATTTTTAAAAACCCTAGGGTAAATAAGCATTAGTATGTACTCTTGATAAAATTACAATTCAACCTTCCCATTGTCTGGGCGATACCAATTGTTAGCTTCACTACGACAACGTCGCTTGCGAATAGGGCATGGCCAATGTTCTGAACACCTGTTGTCACTGAGACCATTCGACATCCTTTTCAAATGTCTTTATCTAACAATGTTGTTTTGGTAACCTGTTTTCAGCTGGGGAGAATCGTGGGGTATGGAAGGATATATCATGATGTCTAGAAACAAGAATAACCAATGTGGTATTGCAACTCAAGCCAGTTATCCAATGGTTTAAATATCGTCTAGTCTAGGCTATATCATTATTGTATTGCTCAATAAATACTAAATTTCATATCTTGTCATATAGAAACACTGTGCCTCGATCCTCGGATCCATTACAAATATTATTACCTCTATGGTTCAAACGCCTTAACAGCATGGTATAGAAACACGTCATAGTGGCTGCGAATGACAGAATAACAATTATAATGATAACAATTATAGTGTCGGTTCATTCCCCGTAGCAACAGTTACTAAAGTAACTTTCTGTCAGTTTTGATACCATTCTGTTCAGTTATCATGGAAACCAGTAAGTCTTGGAGGCGACTCGAGAAGGCACCGAACAAGGTATGTGAACTGGCATTGAGACAGACAACTGGATCTAGAACAACCCTTTTTGTGGTACTCCCGCCAACTACATCATTGGAAAATAATTTACAATTTCACAACATTTCGTCTAAATCTGTTAAGATTTATGCCTTCTAGACCTTTCACAAATTATAAAATTGAAAGAGTTTTCAAGAACATGGGTAATAACTCTATACGGTATACTCTATATTGTGACCACTACACATTTTCAATTAAAAATTGGACGCGTTTTCAAGAACAAGGGCAAGAACTCATATCAAATATTTTTTTGATTTGTCTGATTTTCAAATGGTTCATCCTTATGTGATAACAAGCATTGACACCAAATTTAATCAAAATCCAATAAGAAACCAGCTCTCTATCGTGTCCATAATAAATTGAACGCGTTTTCAAGAACAAGGGCAATAACTCATATTCAATATTTTTCGGACGACAAACAGACAGACAGGCAGGATTTTGATTCGTTTTTGGCACTTCAAAATTGTCAGAAATGAGTTCTCTGGGCCTTTAATTCTTCCAATTTTCTGAGAGCCCTAGCACCAATTCATTTCTGGCGACAGCGTTGCAATATGTAGCAAATAGATCTGAACAATTCCACGTGCATATTAGGCCTAAATAGACACTGTCAATTAGGGCCCTATATCCTACAGCTAAGTCTGCTGCAATTACTGCATTACTTTACAGGCCTGTCTTTTCTAACCATAGATTGAAACATATCTGATAACAGTCTCGCTGTATTGCCATTGGGCTCTCACACTCAGTCTCATTGGCTATATTCGCAAGCAATCCAATCAAACCACTGCATTTTTACAAACTTTTAGCGTGTTGCTAGAAAGGTGCCGACCTAGGAGTGCCACGCCAACCCCTTGAAACTGAGGACAGACCGGCTTATTGACGGGAAAACTTTAATGAAAAATATAATTTTTCATGCATTCTGATACAAATGATACGGCAACAAGAATGAGTTTATAAATAGCTCATTGGGTAAAATCAGAGAGTAGGCCTATATATAGACTATCTATACTCTCTGGTAAAATTGGGGGAACAAATACTTTTCTGGTGGGGGCAAAAGCCCTCAATCTCCCCTGATCCCCCCGCCCGTAACCCCCCACTCCCGGGTACCGCCTCTGCAGATGAATCTCGTATTACCTTGAAATGAGAAGATAGTGGTACCAGTAGGCCAATATTATTATGGTTATCTTTTTCTATCGAATGATGGCATTATTGTAAAAGACGGAGCATGCGAATGAAGTTGGACGAAGAGGTCAAGGTTGTGTACAAAATAATTTTCTTCCAAAAAAATAGAAAAGCTCTTCAAAAGTTTGTATTGTTTAATGTATAGCCTGATTGTTATAATTTGATTATTTGTTGGTCGCTGTGAGTGATTTACGTGAAGATATACGCGCCATCTTAGAGCATGGGCCTACATTTAGGCCTACGCGGTTACACAGAGAGAGAGTTCAGTCCTTTTCATAGAGTTTCTCTGTATATATAGTGTATCTGTAAGGAACTTGGGAAGGAGTGTTGTCTCTACATTTATTATATATAACCACGAGAATGATTTTGCTAGTTTAAGAAATATGCCTTATCTATGCAATAATCAAATTTTAGCCTTTATCATAGTTACTGTTGGACAACTGTTTGGTCATTTTTTAATCTCAATTAATATTATTGATTACATGGTAGCCTATATTAAGCTTTTGAAAATTAAGAGTTTTACCATTGTTATTACATAATTTGAAAGGGTTTAATCTAATGTGTAACAGGATTGTCTAATTAGAATCATGTAACATCTAGATTTACTAGACAGTAGACACCACACTTTTATTGGGACTGTGAGCATTATAGTTCAATATGGCTAATCAAACAGACATCACTTGCCTTCACATGAAAAGGGTAAAATGCTTTTAAAACAGTTTTAAAATCAATTTTTCATACTAGAGGCTACTCAATGCTTCAATTTTTTTAATTTTGTTTTATCCTTGGCAGCAAATTTGCAGGAATCTTAAGGTTTTATGGAGTTAATAACACACCCAGCTCTTTAGAGGTTTTCAGGAAATGTAAAAAAAAAAAAGAATTTTCAGATTGACTAAAACAATTTCTTTCAGTTACTAAACGTTTATTTTTTTATCATCCGCACAGTCACGTTGTTGTTAATTTTCATAAAACTTCAAATGATATGTCCACAAGGGAAACGGTATTATAATTGGTGATAAATTAATTACTACTATATTTATAAGTGAGGCCAGTATTAAGATTGTTGTAGCCCTTGAAGCAAATTTGAAACATATGATATAATCATTGGGTGCGCTCACGTTTTGGTCTTCATTCATTAATATTGTGCAGAAAGGTCAAAATTTCACTTTCTATAATATATAGCTTTATTCTCAGAAATCTGTAGCATTGGAAGAAAAGATCATTCTAACAATATACATCTTTCATTTCAGTTAAGATACACAATGAAGTGCAGTAAGAAGGTGGTTTCTATAGTATTAATGATAGCATGTATCAGTTTACTGCTGAGTGTCAATCTGGAATCAGAGGAGGTGATGCAAACTAGACGTCTGTATAGTCTAATAGCAGACTCCATACAACAAGATTCCTTCTATGGTCATTTACAACTGAAAGAAAACATGTCTTACTTTGAAGGAAGAACAGAAAAAATAACACCTTTGAATTTCAATTTCCTGATTAAGAGTAATGTTTGTAAAGGAAAGCCTAATCCATTGTTGCTGATATTGGTACTATCTAAAGCTGAAAATGCCAGACAAAGACATGCCATTCGGTCCACTTATGGCAGTGTGGTGAGAGGTGCACCATGGCCTTCGGGGGATACCATATTTGGAGATGTTAATTTGGTGTTTTTGTTTGGGAAAACCAACTCATCAGAGATGGAAAGTTTAGTTCAGAAAGAAGCAGATGTATTTGGTGATATTGTGCAGGCCGATTTTGTAGAATCTTATTATAATCTGACTTATAAAGTTTTGATGGGATTTAAATGGGTGAAACATTTCTGTCCTGGAGCAATAAATATTATGAAAGCAGATGAAGATACCTTTATGGACATTCCACGATTAACAAACATCATGGCTTCCACTGACATGACCAATATTATTTACGGTCATTTTCACTTTGCCGATGATGTTGATCGTAAGGTAGAGAAAACAAAAGTAGTAATGGAGGCTTTTCCATTCAAGTATTACTTGCCACATGTGAAAGGAAACATGTATTTCATGAGTAAAACCTTAGCATTTCAAATTTTAGAATTGTCAGAATATTTTCCTTATGTGAATATTGAAGATGCTCATATTACTGGAACATTACCAAATGTTTTGAAAGCAAGACATCTTAACATTCCAAAATCACAATATAATCCCAATGGTGGACCTCACATTTGTGATTTTGCTTTGAAAAGAAAGATAGTTGCTCAACAAGTGGATTCCACATTAGCCTATGGTATTTGGAGGAGAATTCAAAATGCTGATATGTGTGCTCAAAGTCAAAATTATCAACCTTGAAATGCTTTGTCATACAAATTGCCAATTAAGTTTTTGCTTATTTATTTAATAAATAATCCGTCCAGCTTGATGTTGATGTCAAAATTCTTAACTTTTTCATTAATAATATTCTAAGTCCATTTGTCATCAGCAGATGATGACCTATTGTCAGATTTAGATGTCATCAGTTTGAGATATCACCAGAGTCAGATATCAAAATCAGATTAACTCCATGTAGAGGTATTAGTAGTCAGATATATACAGATTCAAAAGTTGTCATATGCAGCTGAACACTTTCTTGCTTTAATAACAAAGCATCTGACTCTGAATTTACTAGGTAAATAACAGTGTTTATAAATCGAGTTGAGTAACTATCAGCCTTTTGGTGACAAGTTTGATACATATTTGTAAAGCATACTACTACATTTCTATGCATGAACTTGTTCTGAAATGTATTTAATGTTATGTAAAAAAAGTTAACAAATAAAGATCAAGTACCAGTAGAGAATTGATATAGTGCTAATATCTATACTTTGGTTTGATGGTCTTTATAGTTTTGGGTGTGAGTGTGTATTTATAAGTTTTTGTTTGTGTGAGAGTATATATAAGTTTTTGTCTTAGTGTATGTGTCTGAGTGTATATATATATATGTTTTTTTTGCTCTGCATGTTCTTATATTATATAGTATGTTATTCTTGCACTTCAAATCAATTCATATCAATATTAAATATTGTTATTAGCTACTGATTTATTACTTCTGTTAGCAAATCAAAATTTACTGATTTTTATGTGGCCTCTCAAGACAGTTTTTGAAATACATCAGACGAGTGGTTCACGCCTGGCATTCTATTAATTGACCCTTAGATTTGATCAGAACATATGATTGGGATCACCTGAACACCAGCAGAAGTAACATAAGACATCTTAAGATCAAACATGCCAGATATTCCCAAATCACTGCAGGTAGACCATCACACATTGTCCAAGTTTTTGTGTGGGTTTAGCTTTAGCTTGGGTTAATAGAAGTATAAAGTTATATGAAAGATTATATTGAAAGCCACAATCTTTTCTTCATAAGATTTTACACATAAATCCCACTTTGGTTGAAAATTATCAATGCCATCAATGATTTGTCAACAAATCATAATATAACTGCTTTGTTTTATGATTAATTATGTAACAAAAAGTTTTTTTTTTGTCTTGATTTTTAGATAATTTTTGGTTTATGACTAGCCTGACAAAACTAGCCTTACCTATTTCTGGGATGTGATATGGGCACATTTAAGCCTTTTGATCCTTTTGCTTGTGGCCTTAAACGTGCCCATATCACATCCGAAAAGCCAGATTTGTCAGGATAGTTGGTTGTTTGATATTTTTTTTCAAAGATGTTTATAGTTTGTTAATCTAGTCATATTCCAGTCTTGTCTGATTTGAACTCCAAAATGATTTCATTCTTCAGAATGGTTTACATATGTAACAGTCAGAAAGACTACAACATGTAAACTAAGCTTGTATGACAAACCTTTTTTTTTTTACGTGATAAAACCTTACAATGCAAAATTTGAATACCTTTTTTGTCATTGTCATGAGATTTTCTATGACTTTCATTATCAGACTAGTTCTGGGTTGAAATGAGAGAATCACTGTATATTAGAATTCAGTATTTACTTGTGATTATTAAGTATTTACAAGTGTGTTTTTTATACGCCCACATGAAATCGGGGGCGTATATTGTCATCACCCATGTCCGTCGGTCCGTCCACAATTGCTCGTAAACACTCTACAAGACACAATTCTTGACGGATTTTGACAAAACTTGGTATGAGTGTTCGTAATCAACCAAGGATGAACCCTATTGAAAATCAGAAAAATCGAAAAAAATTTAGTATATTTTGTTCTTGAAAACGCGTTCACTTTTTAACTCGTAAAAATTCTAGAAGGCACAATTCTTGACGTATTTTAACAAAACTTGGCATGAGTGTTCGTAATCACCCAAGGATGAATCCTATTGAAAATCAGAAGAATCGAAAAATTTTTAGTATGAGTTATTGCCCTTGTTCTTGAAAACGCGTTCAATTTTTAACTCGTAAAAACTCTAGAAGGCACAATTCTTGATGGATTTTAACAAAACTTGGCATGAGTGTTCGTAATCACCCAAGGATGAATCCTATTGAAAATCAGAAGAATCGAAAAATATTCTTGAAAACGTGTTCAATTTTTAGCTCGTAGACACTCTAGAAGGCACAATTCTTGATGGAATTTGATTTGACGAAACTTGGCATGAGTGTTTGTTGTCAACCAAGGATAAACCCTAATGAAAATCAGAAAAATCGAAAAATATTTAGTACAAATTATTGCCCTTGTTCTTGAAAACGCGTTCATTTTTTAGCTCGTAAACACTCTAGAAGGCACAATTCTTGACGAATTTTGATGAAACTTGGTGTGAGTGTTCGTAATCACCCAAGGATGAACCCCATTGAAAATCAGAAGAATCGAAAAATATTGAGTAATATTTAATTTTTAGCTCGTAAACACTCTAGAAGGCACAATTCTTGGTGGATTTTGACGAAACTTGGAATGAGTGTTTGTTATCAACCAAGGATAAACCCGATTGAAAATCAGAAAAATCGAAAAATATTAAGTATGAGTTATTGCCCTTGTTCTTGAAAACGCTTTCAAATTTAGCTCTTAAACACTAAAAGGCATGATTCTTGCTGGATTATGACAAAACTTGGTTTTATATTCAGTCCCGCGCTGAAGATTGAATATTTGCCTTCTAGAGTTTTCACGAGCTAAAATTGAACACATTTTCAAGAACAAGGGCAATAACTCATACTCAATATTATTCAGTATTGCGCTAAAGAGTTCAAAAGAAGTGTATGACTGAAGGTTGAATATTTCATACTGGTGATTGTTACTGTACTGCTAAATATTTTTATTCAAAATCAAAGCTGCCAGTGGGCGTATATTACCTTGCCTGGCAAGCTATCTTATTAGTGAGAATTCAGTATTTAATAGTGAGTATCCAGTATTTACTAGTGAGAACAAGTGATATTTCAGTGAGTACTCATTAGTGAGAATTCAGAATTTACTAGTGAGTATTTATTGGTGAGAATTCGCTCTTTACAACTAAGTATTTATCAGTGAGACTTCAGTATTTACTAGTGAGAACTAATGAGAATTAAGTATTTACTGATGAGAACTAGTGAGATTTCAGTATTTACTTGTGAGTATTTATTGGTGAGAATGTAGAATATACTAGTGAAAACGAGTTCGATTTCAGTATTAATTATTTACATAATTTATTTTCAGTTGAATGTAGTCATTTTAAATATTTCTTTTATTATATGTTTGATATGAACAGTTTTGATATTAAAAATCTGGATTCCTGTTTCCCTACAATTCAGTAAAAATGCCCATATATGTTTCAGTACATACCAGTTTTGTTTCACTTGCAATTTATTAACATCGTATATGTTCAGAAAGACATCGGCATGTGTCGGTGTCGTTTTCAATGCAACGTTACAATCTTTATTCCCAAATGCTCATAATGTGAAGGTCTAAATAACTGCCCATGAAAATGTTTGCATAACTTGCAAGCCATGGTCTTAAATTTCATAGTTTTCTTGTAGGGGAAACAAGGGATTTTATGTCTAAAAACCGTAAAAATTAGCTCAAATTGAATTTTATCGGCTGATAAATATCTTTCGAAGTATTTTGTTTTTCCTTGAATATTTTGGATGCTCTAATAAATTTTTGTTGAGCGTCGAACTCACTTAGCCACTGGAGCTTCTTGAATTAAATACAGGAAATACCAGAAAAGATTGTCACTTTCAGTCATGTTGGACTTTCTGTAAATTTAAATACTGTGATATTATTAAATCCACAGAAAACCTTTTCCAAAAATACATTTCTTAGAAGTTCTGATTGGTTCAAACTCAAACTCTTAAGCTAAGATTCCATATACGCGTCATGCGAATCCGTCATGCGTCAACCGTTAAAAATCGAAATGGTTGGTTTAAGAGTGTATGATTCCATATATGCTGAAGCTGTATCCATCAAATGGTCTCCGTCATGCGTCAAAAAAAAAAATTGCTGGGTGTAGCGATTTTTGACGCATCCGGACGCCTTTCCGCGCGGAGATCTCCCAAATGTGACGTATTTTGTGAGGATTTCCTGTCTTTTTTCCCGCCATATTTTAACAACGAATTCACTGACCAAGTGATGGTATGTTCCATGTTCTCGTCGTAAAAGTAGGATTTTGTGGACCCAATAGCGATGCTTCCTTTTTTTCTTCTTCTTCATTTTCAACCATAAATTTACGCACCAAAGCATCCATCTGTCTAGAAGTCCGTGCGTCAAAAGAAAGATAACGCATACGCTTAACGCACATATGGAATCATATTTGACGCATGAGGGATCCGCAAGGGCCATTAGTGTCCGCATGACGCATTCGCATGAAGCGTATATGGAATCTAATACCCATTTTACACTCGGCTCCGATAAAGTGTGCCAGGCTCTCTTTATCGGGGCCTAGTGTAAAGGGGTATAAGCTTTACTATCTTAACATTTTTTTATTAAACATCTAAAAGTAAACAAAGATAGCTTCCCAGGCAAGGTAACATACGCCCACTACCAGCTGTCAGACATGATAACAAAATCTTTTATGGCTTAATCATGAATTTTCAAATAATCTTGAAAAAGCACACGGTGGGCAGAGGTATACATTAATTAACAACTAAAAAAAAATATTAACTACATAGGAAATAAATTAAAACAGATATAAAATATTGCTGTAATATGCTCTTTTAGGAAATTGCCGTTAAAAACATCATAATCCATTGGCACAATCATAGTTCATAGTGAGTCTTCCTATGCACAAATCATTAGTTCAGCTCTCAGTCTAATTAAAATTAGACCAAACTTTCCTTTTATTATTAATCTAGCCACTTCAGTTGGGGTCTGAAGATGCCTTTGTGACATCATCAAAAGGTGCATTCAGTGTCTAATGCTTCGAAGAATCTTTTGAACACGTCACACATTTAAAGCTTTTGAGAGGGCATAAATTTGATTGTCTGGCGGTATCATCAAACTGACGAATGTTCAATAGGACTGTCTTCAGACCCTAAATAAAGTGGCTAAATTAAAAATAAAGTTAATTACACTGGGTCAAGTAAACGGAAAATATGTTGTGATGACTTGTGGGATGACCAGCAAAATAGAAATATAAAAACTTTGTATACCCTGTATGTAATGAGAGTACATAATAAAGAAATAAAAAAGATAAAAATGACACATCAAATCCCGAATACGGGTTTTGATATGGTGTTATTAACCCGTATTAAACTAAGCCCACTACACTTCATTTTGTGGGCGTGGAAATGAGATTGTTGCGATTCAAATCTGATCAATTAGATTGCGATTTGCGTCATGTAAACCAAACACAAATCGATTCGTCGCCCACCGTTTGACGAGATTAGAACACATTCTTTCCAGCTAATAAATATTCCAATTAATTTTCAGTCAAGTTCAATTCTTTACCGAAATTTACTCAATTATATATCACCCTTATTAATCAAAACATTTTACGTTCGCGATCAAAGTAGCATGAGGTTGGTTTAATTTGGTTGGTTGCGATTTCCTAGAAAGTTTTCAGGGCCTATTTTGATTGGACCATATTTGTCTATTTTTACGTAATTTCCCTCACTTGTATTACCACGACCTCGAGGAAGTATGACGAATGTTTAGACACGATGAAAATCATATAACAACAATACTGATATCATGTACAATACACACCACTTTCCAGAATGAATACCATCATTTCACACAACATTACATATTTCAAAAATAGAAGAACTTAAACAAGTGCTTATATTATGAAGGTATTTTTAAATAGAGATAATCTTTTTATGATTCTAATCATACTCTATCAACAATAACAAAAATTGGAAAAAGATAACAATCAACAAAAAATATAAGACATATAAGGTAACAAAAGAATTTCATGCTTAATTAAAACAGGAATAACAATTCTTTTTATGATGTTACAATGCATATTAAAGGGACAGTGCACCATTTTGGGGGGTTGATTTGAGTCTAGAATATACTTCAGTCTTCAGAAGTACTAGAAATGTAAGAAAATCGCATAATTCCTATGAAAATATGGTCTTTTCTATACATGGCAGTGTCTCACAAAAGACGACTCGTTTTTGTCTTTTTAACTTTTAAATGCAGATTATTCTGGGCCCACATATATTTGAAGGCTCAAATTTAGACGGCGAGTTGTGAACATTATAACTGATTGACTTTGCTAAAAAAAAAAATGCCCGTTTCTGAGTATTATGATTGGTCAAAACAATGGCACACTTGTCACTTTAAAGATAAGTTCGAATTAGCATGTTTACAGTTTTAATAGTATCTAAAATAGAATTTTAGTAGTATTTCAGTGGTAAAAAGAAAAACCAGGATTTGAAATCTTTAAATTACCAAAAGCAAAACTAGGTCTTAATAGTATGAAAGTGGTCTTAAAATAAACAAAATTTGCCAGTTTCAGAACAGAATATATTCCCAAAAAAATATCTTGCTAGGCAAGGTAACATAAACCCACTACCAGCTGTCAGAAATGATAACAAAGTCTTTAGTGGCTTAATAAAGAATTTTCAAATAATCTTAAAAATATTCATAAGTCAAAGCAAAACCTCAAAAACAGTTCATCCGATTATCATCTAAATCAAACATGAACAATATCTCATCGACATAAACACAAGGGCAATTAACTATATTAATATATACATGCATACCAAGTTTCATCAACATCTATAACAAACTGTAGTCTCTATTGTGCCTACATGCAAAATTCGATACGTTTTCAATGGCAATAATTTTGAAACAGTTCATCCGATTATTACAATATCGAACTTGACCAAGATATAATCAATATATACATATGCATACCCAGTTTCATGAAGATCTGATAAAAACTTCTCTATCGTGCCTATACAAGAACTGTGAATGGACGTAAGGACTGACAGACAGGGGCGACGGCAATATATGTCCACATTCCTATGTGGGTGTAATGGAACTTGTACTTTTGCCCTTTGAAGCACCATTTTGATAATTTTACATGAAACATTGATCTGAGATATCACCTCAAGTGGTGATTTAAAAAAGAGAAGAATTTATATTTGACAATTGTCAAGAGATATGGTAGTTTGATTCAATCTGCAAAAGTCCTGAAAGAAAATTCAAAATTGCAGGTTAAAAACTATGCATATGTTAACCCATCCATAACTTTCAAAATTATATTGCAGATAACACACAATCAAAATACTTGAAATTCGATCAAAGAAAAAATTAATAATAAAATTATGTATGAAATCACTCCATCATTATGTAAAAATAAAACCTATGATTAAAATGGAAGGTCTTTTTCTCCTTTCATAGTTTTAATGCCAAAATTCAGTTCGGCTCCACCAGATGATAATAGATCAATACCAGTACAGTATGTTCCTTCTGCTGCCAAAAATAAACACACCTGTCCTATTTCTTCAATAGTGCCAAAACGTCCCATCAGCTAAAAATAAATTCCCAAAAATTAATCTATTGCTTTGGCATAATTCTATTTTTCCAACGTACACAGCTTAGAATTGAACTTAAAGGGGCAGTGTTTTTTAGTAGGTTGAACACAATATTTGCTCAAATTTATGAAAACTCTAGAGAATTGTAGACCTATCCATTAATGTACCTGAACATTTTAACAAAATAAATCCGGCTGTGAATGCCAAAACTATTTCAAAAACATTATGTAAACTTTTAAAATTAGTTAAGCATTTTGAAGCTGTTAGAAAACTACTGTATGGATTTATGTAAAATAAACGGTTAACTGCAAAGAAATATGTCTCTTAAATATTGTGAAGGTTTTTAATCAACTCTTTTAAAACAAATTTAGTTTGATCAATTAGATACACAGATGTACATAGCATATTTAAGAAATATTTCAGGTATAATTTACAATTTTTATATAATGAAAATTTCGCGTACTGCCCCTTTAAATAAACTATACATTTCAGAAAAGGAAACATTACAATATATTGCTATAAAAAGAGATGTGGGTGTGTAAAAACTGAGTGAAAAAAGAAAAAAGAAAATGTATGAAATGAAATTCATCAAACCTGACTATCGGCTCCATTTGCTATTGTTTGTTCTGGATTAGTTGTTTTACTGGCTCCACTATTCCATAAAGGTGTCCAAACATTACCTGGTGATACTCTATAATTAAAGAAAGTTATCTTTGCTTTCATATACCTATTCTCTATCCTAACTTTGAAAATTTTAATGTTTGAAATTTTGTTATTAAGGAAAGGTCGACAAAAACTATTTAAACAATTAATTTCCTGTCTTTTGCCCAGAAAATATTGGTTAAAATAAACTCTGATTTTCACACAGTTTTGATGAAATTAATATTTCTTGACAATGTTTTTGTGTGACTAGGGATTGTGTTTGCTGACAGTGTGCCAGGTAAAGTAACAATCAATGTTTCTGCCAACAACAGACTTTAAAGCTTTTGTCATTAAGTTTTGTCAGAACTTATATTCTATAATAAAGAATTTGCCCAAAAGTTTTCAGAATTTTGGTTTAAAAGTGTTGTATTAACATTGAATTGAAGCTAGCTACTTACGAATTAACTCTAACATTATATTTTGCTTCATCAATTGCTAAAGCTTTACTGAATGATGTGACGCCTCCCTGAATATAAAGTTAGAATACCTCATAACAATAATTTTCGGTTAAGTTTGGTCTAAGAGCAATTCTTTTATAAACAATGAATAAAGTACTTAATGGAACACTGATGATATTTCTATTGAGTTCATTAATCAAATTGAATTAAATAAGATTGGAATAAAAATAAGTTTGATGCTTTGTTGTTTCAACATAATTCTATAAATAAAATCCACGTTTCCCATCCGTTTGACCAGTCGTACCTTATAGTCTCAGAAACAGGAAGTTAAGTGAATCAGTAATAATGTTCACAGCTCAGTCGAATTTGAGCCATCAAATCCATGTGTGTCCAGAATTATCTGCGTCTCTTCTTGAGAGAGTACTTTGCAAAAAAGCACTAAGACTATTTACATATATTCAAGAACCAAATCAACACCTCAAAAATGTTGAAGCCTTGATGTATATGATTGATATGAGCATACCTTTGTGGCTACGTAGGTAACAGCACCATATTGTCCAATAGATCCAACTAAACTAGATATATTTATAATATTACCTTCAACTTTTCTCAAATGAGGCAAGGCATACTGTAACAATCAAATTTATCAAATCAAATTCAATATATATGTGTCCTTCTGTATTTTTTTCATCAAATTAAGTCACCAAGTGCGAGCATCCAGAGCTATAATTTAAATAAAAGCACCTATTGTCCATGACTGATACTCCAACATCCCCAACATTTTATGAAAAAATATTATTCAGAGGTAAGAGAAATTTGGAGCTAACTGCCTCTTGATTTTTTTAAATTTATGCTTTTTGTGTCAAGTTGACCATCATTTCAAATCATTTTTTTCAGAACCGAAAGAACTTACTTTACATGCTATAAAATAGCTGACAAGATTTAAATTTAACAATTCTCTAAAATCATCTGAACTGAAATCATCTATCGGCATATGTGGTGGATCTGAAAAGAATGGTTTATCAGAATATTGTGTTTGCTTTGCCAGCTGATAGCATGATAAAGCTAACTTTCAGCTACTCTTAGTACCATGTAATAACCTTGCTTAGATTCAAGCAAGTTGTTATAATTTTTCCAGTTCATGATCAATTATAGTCAATGATAGAAACATGTCATGATATCAGTAAGTTTACTATCAATAATATCATGATATCTGTAAGTTTATGAATGGTGATGTCATGATATCGTGAGCTAGGTTTAGACCATCGTGAGGCAGGTTAGTTTTAACCTGATATGATGTCATGATATCGGTCAGTTTATGATCGATGATGTCATGATATCAATAAGTTTATGATCGATGATGTCATGATATCAATCAGTTTAGGATCAATGATGTCATGATATTAATAAGTTTATGAACGATGATGTCATGATATATGATCGATGATGTCATGATATCAGTAAGTTTATGATCAATGATGTCATGATATCGGTCAGTTTATGATCGATGATGTCATGATATCAATAAGTTTATTATCGATGATGTCATGATATCAATAAGTTTAGGATCGATGATGTCATGATATCAATAAGTTTATGATCGATGATGTTATGATATATGATCGATGATGTCATGATATCAGTAAGTTTATGATCAATGATGTCATGATATCAATAAGTTTATGATCGATGATGTCATGATATCAGTAAGTTTATGATCAATGATGTCATATCGGTCAGTTTATGATCGATGATGTCATGATATCAATAAGTTAATAATCGATGATGTCATGATATCAGTCAGTTTATGATCAATGATATAAGTAATTTGGCCGGAATTTCTAACCTAGTTATGAGATTTTGCCCAAAAACTTGCGTTCGGGGCTGTCCCCCCCCCCCCCCCCTCCCTTTGGCTCCGCAACTGCATGTAGATGTGGTTGTACTGTATCAAGAACAGAAATATTCTTACGAGAGCCAGCATTATTAACCAAACAATCTATTCGACCATATTTCTCTACTGTTTTATCTATTAAATTCTGAAATAAAATTTATATAGATAAGTTAAGTAAATTAAATAATTCTGTAAATAAGCATTTTGTGATTCTTTAAGAGAGAGATACTGGTAGGTCAAACTATAAATAGAACAAAAATAGCTTTGCAAAGCAAGGTGACATACGCCCACCAGCAGCTTTGATTGCAATTACAAATCATTGTTTGTAACCTGTAGCCCTAACCCGACGCAAAAACCTATTATCTTTGTAAATATGTCTATGTATGTGTAATTAGTATAAATTTTTCAATTTTTACATTTCTGTATATAAATTCAGATTGAATTGTACCTTAGACCTTTCGGTCATATACATGTTAATAAATATTATTATCATTGCAAGGGGAGGTAATAAAATATTCAAATATTCAGAGTGAGCACGAGCCAAGTGGGAACAAACGGACGATAATATGCTTCAATACTACATCCGTTGTCCACTGTTTTGCTCAAGCAATGTTTACCAGATATTGTTCCTTTCGTTACTAAAATTGTAAACGAGTTGCTTTCTCAGGCACCTTCTCTGAGTCCAAGAGGCCGCTTTTAAAAAAGTCTGGACTGAATCCTGATGAGTTGAAGAATTACCGACCTGTGTCTAATATATCATTTCTGGGAAAGGCCATTGAGAAGGACGTTATTGATCAAATCGATCTATGTTTCACTCGACAGAAACAGTACTTTTGAATGTGTTCAATGATATTTTGGTTTCTTTGGATGGTCATCGCGAAGTTATATTAGTCATATTGGACTTATCTGCTGCCTTTGACACTTTGGATGATGGCATTTTGTTTGAACAGTTGGGGAAACGCTTTGGTTTCACCGGACAGGCATGTTGGTTGGTTCAAATCATACCTGATAGGCAGGTCAAGCACATCAAGCACATCGTCTTTATTGTACTCCTCTCGAGGAGATCTTTAACAGTTACGGTCTTGATTTAATGGTGTACGCCGACGACACACAAATGTATTGTCGATGTAAGTCAGGTGACTTATCTACTGTTATACTCGAGTCATGTGTTGGTGAGATTCGTGTTTGTACTGAATGATAGCAAGACCGAAGAAGTCCATTTTCCGTGAAGAATGTAGGTTTTTACATTGACTGTGTTGGTCTTTGTCGTTGCACATCTCTTCCGTTTATAAATCTGCATCATTTGCACTATACCGCCATGGTCGCATTAGACGTGTTTTAGAACGACTAATACATGCTGACATCACCCTACGCCTAAATTATTGCAACAGCCTTCTTCTGCATGCACCAGAATATCTCATCAAATCTCTCCAATCTATTCAAAACTCCGCTGCACGCCTTGTAGGCCTATGTCGCACCAGAAATTACTCTCACATAACTCCTGTTCTCGCCTCACTGCACTGGCTTCCTGTTTCTCACCGAATAGAATTTAAAGTTTTAGTATTAACAAGACGCTGCATGATCAGGCACCTGCTTACCTACCCGATCTCATTACCTACCCGATCTCATCTCTCGCCGTCAACCGAAAAGAGCAACCCGAGCATCCATGGGACTTCAGCTCGTTGAGCCACGCTACAATCAAGAATTCTATGGAAAGCGCGCATTTTCGGTTTTGTAATAGTGATCTGTACTATGATTTATACAATGTACAGCCCATTAAGATCGATTGTAATGTAATGGGCTTTAAACAATATATATTATTATTATCATGTGGGCATAATATAAATCAAAAGAATCCATAAAAAATTGTTGCTTGAAGAGTGAGCTAAATTTATACTAGACCCACAAAATAAAAATCAAAAGAATCCATTAAGAATTGTAGCCTGTAGAGTTGAATAATTCATACTGGTAATTGTTACTGTACTAACAAATTTTTTTATTCAAAATCAAAGCTACGTACTAGCAAGTGTTTATTACATTGCCTGGCAAGCTATCTTAGTATCAGTACGTATGTATGTATGTAACTTAGAAATTATTGTGTATGGTTTAAAGTCTTGGATTAAAGAAAAACTGCGTTAATCTTCTACAAAGTGAAGGTTTAAATAGTTAGTTTTGACCACTTTTGTCCAGTCAACTAGTTTTGGACAGGTCGGCTTTAACCGGTTAAAACTGCTCTGGACAAAACTTGCCAAGCCTGCAAATTTCTGGTAAATTCAATTTTTCGACGCACCAACCTTAATTTCACTTTCTTTTGTAACATCACAAGCAATGAAAGTAGCTTCACCAATACCAAGACCATTTAGTTCCTTTTCTACAGCTTTACCCTCAGACTCTAAAAAAATAATTTGCTTCTTACCCTACGCATCTTAAAATCAGATTTAATTTTATTTATAAAAGTTTCAAAAAGGATGAAATCAATCTGCATACAATTAATCAAGAACTACGTAAATCAATTTTCATACATAATTTTAAAAATGTGATTGTGTCAACTAAGTAAAGTATAACTCACTTTTCATACATGATGTGATTGTGCCAACTAAGTAAAGTGTAAATCAATTTTCATACATGATGTGACTGTGCCAACTAAGTAAAGTGTAAATCAATTTTCATACATGTGATTGTGCCAACTAAGTAAAGTGTAAATCAATTTTCATACATGATGTGATTGTGCCAACTAAGTAAGGTGTAAATCAATTTTCATACATGATGTGATTGTGTCAACTAAGTAAAGTGTAAATCAATTTTCATACATGATGTGATTGTGTCAACTAAGTAAAGTGTAAATCAATTTTCATACATGATGTGATTGTGCCAACTAAGTAAAGTGTAAATCAATTTTCATACATGATGTGATTGTGTCAACTAAGTAAGGTGTAAATCAATTTTCATACATGATGTGATTGTGCCAACTAAGTAAAGTGTAAATCAATTTTCATACATGATGTGATTGTGTCAACTAAGTAAGGTGTAAATCAATTTTCATACATGATGTGATTGTGCCAACTAAGTAAGGTGTAAATCAATTTTCATACATGATGTGATTGTGCCAACTAAGTAAGGTGTAAATCAATTTTCATACGTGATGTGATTGTGTCAACTAAGTAAGGTGTAAATCAATTTTCATACATGATGTGATTGTGTCAACTAAGTAAAGTGTAATTCAATTTTCATACATGATGTGATTGTGTCAACTAAGTAAAGTGTAAATCAATTTTCATACATGATGTGATTGTGCCAACTAAGTAAAGTGTAAATCAATTTTCATACACGATGTGATTGTGCCAACTAAGTAAAGTGTAAATCAATTTTCATACATGACGTGAGTGTGTTAAAAAAAGTAGAGTGTAAATCAATTTTTCATACATCATGTGATTGTGTCAACTAAAATTGGATGTAAATCAATAGTGATTGTGTGAATTTACAGAGATTTCTCATCAAGGAAACATTGCTGTTACATTGATTCAGATACTTATGCTGAAATGAAATGAAATGAATGAAGTTTTACGTCCTACTTTTCTGCATGTGGGCTAATGAAGAAGGTAGATTCTTATGCTGAGGTGGACAAGGAAAGACTATATAATTGATTATTAAATCAGACATAACTAAATACAAAACAAGAAAAAAGCATGCAACTTACCATCTACTGTAATAAAAAAAAAAATAATTTAACCATATTAACCAATTTAACAAGGAATATACAGTAGACCTTAGTTTTTATGAATTATTAAACTCGTTTTCCCCTTTTCTGGTATCAATTTAAGATATCTGAGATCGAATGCATATAATTATTCTCATATCTTCACTGCAATGGCAATGAAACTAATGAAAGAGATACATACATACATACATGCAGATCAAACATATAGATAGAGCATATTTTGCAAGTTGATTGAAGTATTTTTGCTTTGATTGAGCCTACCATTTTGTTCATGGGAATACTAAATACCAAGAAGACAACAACATAAGAAATAGGTTCAATAATAAGGTCAATAATTTTTCTGACCCGAACTCTGACCCTCTGCAATATTTCCTTTTGGATATGTGGTATACAGAAATTTACTTTGACTTTTTTGTACCTCCAAACCTAAACTCTGACTAAAAATGCACTTGCCATGGTCGCAGATAAACGTTAAGAAAACGCAAGAAAAGGTACATTAACATTAAACATTCTAAAACCATACATATAAATATACATGTATGCTAACATATTGTGTTCCAAAGGCGCGTTTCCAATAAAATCTATGGGCTTGGTGCACTTCATTTTCATTTTTTGTTATAACGCTTGTCTAAAGACATTTTCGAGTCCATGTCGATCTAACGGGTATTATTGGCGACAATGGTTCCCAACATGCAGTATCTGGAGCTTCCTTCTCGCTTATGGTGACCTTAAACATGCTCAAAGCCAATTTTCCGACATTGAGCAGTTCAGTAAAGAAGCCTTTTGGGTATGACAGGGCTATTAAGTCAAGACTCTTGACCTGTGTTTCATGTTATAGAAAGAGCACCTGAGTTACTGTTACCTTCTATTGTGTGTGCTCATTATATTATATGAAATAAAAGGTAACATTTAAGGAATATTTCAAAATACATACCATCTTTAACACAAAATACAACTTTTGAACCATTTTTTACTGAAAACAAAATGAAATTGTGTTTAGAAAATTTCTGTAAGGTCAGCAGGTTACAATATATTTTCAATGGAATACAGGATCTTAGTTTAGATGCTTTTCTTACAGATGTTCTTACACATTGTAAATTAAACCTTATAAATAACTATAGGGTCGAATTCATCCATCTCTATCAATTTTCAAAGTATTATGTCTGTTTCTTGCATACTATATAGGTCAGCTTATAAACTCTGCTGTCTAGGGCTGCATGCAAGCTATAGGCCTACTCGACTTGGCCTATGTCGAAGAAAATTAAATTCTCCGTTTATAATAATCACTCACCAAAAACTGTAACGACACCCAGCCCAATGCCTTTAGATCCGCCGGTAACAATCGTTACCTTATCTTTATATCGCAGTCCACTACCTTCTGCCATTTTCAGTCTGAGTAACTTGTGACTTTTTAGGTAGGTAGGTAGATGACAAGTTAACGTTCTCTTCCAGCGGATGCTGATATCGCAAACTAGGTAGTTGTTGGTAGTCGTAGTAGTTGGTAGTTGGATTGGGCTTGTGACTTTTTAGTTCACTTCAAACCTTGTACTAACGGGACTTGCAGGTCACGTTGGGGCATGTGGTCATGCTATACTAAGTTCAAGGTAGATAATTCGCTTTATTAATTTCAGACTACTATTAACTTTTTTTTTTTTTTTTTTAAGTGAAAGACTGTCTTTAAATACAGCAAGTGCCTCTGATTTTTATAGTCTAGCAAAGATATTTGTGCACAGTATGGCTCTTGACATTTTATGAATAGTCTTAAAATATGAACGATTATTTTTGCCAGGCTTGTTGTCAAAGGTATATTTATGAGATGAAATCAAACCTTATATTATGATAATATGTTGTCAGAACACAAAGATAATAGCATTACTGCTGTTAATTCAAAATTATTTGAAAAAGCTTTAATAATGAAAATAATGATACTTTAAATCTCTATTTTAAGCTTTATAATAGCTGATAGAGACTGATTTCAGCTTCAATTTAGAATTTGTTCGAATTTTCCAGGGTGGGGGGTGGGGGGGGGGGGGGTGCTTCAGTCTCTTTTGCGCTTTATGCATTCCAGACAATATCAGCGTAGTTGACGTGACATCTGACATCTTTTGTACAGTGGGGGTAAATGCATCGAGAGTTACGAACTTGTTTGCCCCTCTGATGACTCCGACCATGGCGTCATCCTTACTCTGATGTCCTTTTATTGGTCTTCTTTGGTTAGATAGTGTTTTGATGAACCCGTATCGGCGATATGAGAAGAGGTTTTTCTTCATGTGTCATCATTTGGTATCTATTACAACTTGCTATTACATCGGATGCTTGTCAGACTTACTTGCCTGTGATTTTTCTTATCTCTTCTTTCTTAAAGATCGCCACTTTCCACTCACCTGGGGCTTGTTCGGATTAGAGTGATACATTGAAAATATTTGGCATGGGGTGGGCTGTATGGCTCTTGGGGTTCTTTTTAGCTAATCTGGACTAGAGGATTTTTCGAAGTATTTTGTATCCTTTTATTCTGTAATTGATTCTTGTTTAATGTAGCCTATTTGTGATTCTAGCTACACAAAGCATTGTCTAGGCTGGTGAAACAGATGACATTCAAGTATTGAAAAGATGTTTGTCTGCCGTTCTGTCTATCAGTGGCGTCAAACTCCCCAGACTGATGGTACAAATAGGGGATGGACCTACTCAATGGAGGGCAGGTGGACAATGTCGAGGTAGAGTGGGACGATATTATTAAGATATTATCGAAAAAACTGGTATAAGAAAAAAACCGGCCGATGGCCTTCTGTAGGGCTAATCACAGGCTTCTCTTTATTTTTTTATATACGTTGACAATATTTTCTCCACATTGCCCATATTTTATTAATATTGACAGAACTTCGACTCAAGGTCCTGTGCTTTATCTCACCCTCTTGTATTTTGGTAAACGCTATAGTTTGATAAGGTAATGATATCACAATGTGCATTATATGCATAGCAACGAGCATACAAGACTTGATACCTTTGATTTTGATAGACAAAACTGTGTCTGTTTTAACCCAACCTCATCAGCCTCATGGCCAAATTATTTGACTTACTCTACATGTGTCTTAGATCTTGGGCCTCGGTTTTCAAACAGCTTAAAGCAGTAACAATAAACGAGATACTTTATGACATTACAAAAATTTTATTTCAGAAAATTTTTCTATATAACGATATAATGAACCTATCGTGATAAAAACTCGTCTATAGCACATACACAAAAAAATCTCGTATCGCCCAACTCTATATCGAGACTGAACTTTGTCATAGTCGCCAGCCTCTAATGAGGCGTCTGAAGGGTTCTCCAAAGAAAATTTTCGAAATATTAAATTGATTTGGTGCATTCTGACACATAACGGAAACGTATAAAAATCATATTTTTAAATTTGTGGAAATATAACGGTGCAAACCATTTTTCTAGAGGGCAAATGGATTGAACCCAGGACCCTCAGGTTAGCCAGCAATCGTCTAACTCACTGGAGCTTCTGGTGAAAAACCAGAACAGATTGTCACTTTCAGCCAAAATTAGATTTCTTAGAAGTCTTAGCATCTTAACATTTTTTATTAAGGGGAAAGCTAGGCCATTGTTTTTTGACCATCAAATTTAATCTCAGAAACTAAATTAAACTAAACTAAACTAAGAATTTTTCAGCTGAGCTATCAGTAATAGTGTTCACAGCTCACCGTCGAAATTTGAGCAATGTGAAAATGACGACTTTAAGATACTCTGTGATATATAGAAAAGACATATATAGAAATATAGTGAGTAAAATTCCTAGTTTGAAGTATTTTTAAAGGAATTATGTGATTTTCTCTCGTTTCTAGTACTTTTGAAGACTATTTACATCTATTCAAGATTACTATCAACAACCCCAAAAATGGCGCATCTGTCCCTTTAAACACCAAAGAGTGAACAAAACGCACAAGTAGTCCAAAGGTATTTATTAATCAGCAACTATTTGATTTTTTTTATTTTTAACAATTTTAAGGAATTAAATAACATAGGGAAATATATTAAAACAGATTATAATAAATTGCATGATATTGCATCAAATTTCTATACAGGAATATAGGCCTCTTGACCTCAAAATCATTAGGTCTAGTCAATAAGTAAAAGGGAAATGTGATGACTAGCAAAATTCAAATATAAAAACTTTATATACCCTGTATTTATTGAAAGTATGTATGATACATAACAAAGAAATATTAACAAGATAAAAATCACATAAAAAATCACATGTGCTAAACATATCACTCTCATATCATATTACTTTTTAATCACACAGTACTGTTACCAGGTTCATAAAAACCTTGCATGGGATAATAACTTCTCAAATTAGGTTATGTTTTCATGCACTATGTAAACAACAACATGGCATTCCTTTGAGTTGAGGCATTCCTTTGAGTTGAGGACTCAGTTACAAGTTAAAGTAAAGGGCATGAAATTGTTCCAAATAACATAACTTTGGCACATGAATGTGTCTATCTAGATCTTATTTGTTATGTGCAAGGAAATTTTAAAGAATGGTGGACCTTTCAATGAAGGCCCTCTATATGTGTATATCAATTGTAAGCATGCATTATACAACTTGGTCCTATATCCAATGAGTTCCAATGTAATGTATTTGAAAGTGGTGCGTATTTTTAAATAAAGCTAATCTTCTTATGATTCTAATCATACTCTATCAACAATAACAAAAATTAGAAAAAGATAACAATCAACAAAAAATATAAGACATATAAGGTAACAAAAGAATTTCATGCTTAATTAAAACAGGAATAACAAATTAAAAAAAAATCCATCTTAGTATAAAGTCTAAGCTGATTAAAGATATCTTATTTAGGCTTCAAATTCAAAATAGCATTTTTACAGCTTTAATAGTATTTGGCAGAAGTTTGAAATCTTTAAATTACCAAAAGCAAAACTAGCTATTAATAGTATGAAAGAGTGGCAGCGCCAGCCTTCCGATTACTGGGGGCAGACTGGCTCAAAAGGGGGACAACTGCTAAGACTGAATCAAATCAAACTCTGTGGTGGTGTCATAATCGCAAGTCTCTCATAGAGAGTCTTAGAGGGTTCTGTTAAGAAAATTTTAGAGAAAATGAATTGATTTTGTGCATTCTGACAAATATTTTGGAGGAAAAAGATAGACATTTAGATTTGTTGAATATAAAGTGGGCGGGGTACAATTGGAAGCGCAAACCACTTTTCTGTCCTCTCCCTTGACTCCACCACTGATGAAACATTGATCTGTGATGTCACCGAAAGTGGTGTTTTAAAATGAGAAGAAATATATCTAACAACTAATAATATGTAAAATAGTTTGATTCAATCTACAAAATTTCTAGTCTTTCAAAACCCGAGTTTGAAAATTATGTAAATGTAAATATAAAATTCAACATTCAAATCATATTACAGATTAAAATTAAAAATACTGAGACCGTTAAAATTTTGTGCATAAGCTTCATCCCTACCCTAAAACTTGAAATTCAATGGAAGAAATAAAAATGTTGAGAAGTTTCTGTAAAAAAAACTCTACCAACAATTAAAATGGAAGTTGTTTTTCTCCTTTCATAGTTTTGATGCCATAATTCAACTCGGCTCCACCAGATAATAGCAGATCAATACCAGTACAGAATGTTCCTTCTGATGCCAAAAATAAACACATTTGTCCTGATTCTTCAATAGTGCCAAAACGTCCCAACAACTGCAATAAATTAGAAAAAAATGAATATGATCTCTTTGGAAAATTCTATTTTTCACATAACATAAAACTATACATTTCAGAACATTAATGAAGAAAAGCCTTCACAGAGTTGCTGCATTTTGAATTCAGCCTCGACTTTGTCCCCCTACTGAGTCAGCCTATTTGTACCCTCAGTATCTAGAGGCTAGCCCTGCCGCTGGTGATATGAAATCCAACAAACCTGACTATCAGCTCCATTTGCTATTGTTTGTTCTGGATTAGTTGTTTTACTGGCTCCACTATTCCATAAAGGTGTCCAAACATTACCTGGTGATACTCTATAATTAAAGAAAGTTATCTTTGCTTTCATATACCTATTCTCTATCCTAACTTTGAAAATTTTAATGTTTGAAATTTAATTACTAAGGAAAGGTCTCATACAGGCAAAAAACTAGTTCAACAACTAAACTCCTGTCTTATTCCCTCAAAATATTGGTTAAAATAAACTCTGATTTTCACACAGTTTTGATGAAATTAATATTTCTTGACAATGTTTTTGTGTGACTAGGGATTGTGTTTGCTGACAGTGTGCCAGATAAAGTAACAATCAATGTTTCTGCCAACAACAGACTTTAAAGCTTTTGTCATTAAGTTTGTCAGAATTTACATCTTGTAACACAGAATTTTCTTCAATTACCCTTCAGTTTAGAAATTTTCTTATTTTGACTCAAAATCCATGATCTGAACATTGAAGCTAGCTACTTACGAATTAACTCTAACATTATATTTGGCTTCATCAACTGCTAAAGCTTTAGTGAAAGATGTGATGCCTCCCTGAATATAAAGTTAGAATACCTCATAACAATAATTTAAGGTTAAGGTGCATATAGGAGTAAGGTACTTAATGGAACTCTGATGAAATTTGTATGACTAAATAAAGAGCAACATGAACGATAATGATTAATCTGTCAAGTCTCTTTTCAACACTCAGAAAAGAAAGAAAGAATCAACTATATTTTACGAGGACAACAACAGTTAAGGATCCTTTCTACCAAACCTCTTGGCATTGATCTTTCCCGGATTAACCGTAACCATTTACAGCTGGGTCAACTGGAATTATGAGTGAAGATGACTTATTCAAGGTCACCAGATTTCAACACACCGAAAATTGAAAATTACAGATTCTATTGAGCTCATGAACAAATTTATTGTTTTAAGTCAACGGCAAAAACTGTTGCGTTGGTCCATCTTTTCCAATATCTCATTAATTTATATGGTCACTCCAATTTCACAAAACATGTTGACAGACAGAGCAACAACAATTCATGACAACATCTTCAAAGGCTTGGGGTGTCTTAACCAACCAGCATTCAAGGCAAACATACATGTACCTATTTCTTTCCAAGTTGACACTTGACAGGGTTTGCCAACTAGACATCTTCTCATTAAAAGTAAAATATCCCTAGACACTTTAATGCCTTGAGATGTATATGATTGATATGAGCATACCTTTGTGGCTACATATGTAACAGCACCATATTGTCCAATAGATCCAACTAAACTAGACATATTTATAATATTACCTTCAACTTTTCTGAGATGAGGCAAGGCATACTGTAACAATCAAATTTATCAAATCAAATTCAATACATAATAATGGAAGAATTGCAAAACTGTAAAAAATGATGCAGTCTGATTAAAATACAGATCTAAACGTGTTGTTTTGTGCTTATTCTGCAAATGATTTCACTACCAGCAAGCAGAGCAATAGTTACAATAAAAGCACTTATTGCACGTGACTTTACTCTATTACAGCTTTCCTCTATAACCTAGGCCAGTGCTTTCATTGAAACTTGTCTTAATACACCCTTATACTCATTATCCACAATATTTAACAAAGTTGACCAAAAGTTTAAGAACCAAAAGAACTTACTTTACATGCTATAAAATAGCTGACAAGATTTAAATTTAACAATTCTCTAAAATCATCTGAACTGAAATCATCTATCGGCATATGTGGTGGATCTGAAAAGAATGGTTTATCAGAATATTGTGTTTGCTTTGCAACCTGATAGAGCATACTTTCAGTTATTTGTAGTATTTTGAAGCAAAGCTTTTATCTTCTTTATATTCCGACAGTTTGGTTGTATATTATAATCTGTTTATACCATGATTGTTCTACGGGCTACAATTCTTTACAGATTCTTTATTTTTATTTTGTGGGTCAATGTCATTATGAAGATGATCCCTACCGATTTTCATGATGACCTAACAATTTTTCACTGAAATATCATGTCATTTTAGCGTTTTTACTCTATTGGCTATATTATATTGTGCAATTCGTGATCACTCTATGTCGAAATGTTGTTTCCAACTTAGTATATTCACTCTATTAGCTATAAAGTGTAACTTTTGCTCACTCTTCAAGAAACAATTCCACATGTAGTATGGAAGCAATGATCAATGATGTCATGATATCAATTAGGTAATGATCAATGATGTCATGATATCAATAAGGTAATGATCAATGATGTCATGATATCAATTAGGTAATGATCAATGATGTTATGATATCAATTAGGTAATGATCAATGATGTCATGATATCAATTAGGTAATGATCAATGATGTCATGATATCAATTAGGTAATGATCAATGATGTCATGATATCAATTAGGTAATGATCAATGATGTCATGATATCAGTCAGTTTATGATTGGTGATGTCATGATATCAGTCAGTTTATGATTAATTATATCATGATATCAACTAGTTTCAGGTAGATTTTTGATATTGTGATATCATTAATTTTGTCATAAATGATGTCATGATATCAGTAAGTATATGATCTATGATGTCATGATACCAGAAATATCTATGTGTGGCAATGGTTTTAACTTTAACAAAGTGATTTGTCTAAAGTTCATAGTTCATTTTGTTAAATTACAGGACAGTTTTGGATTTTTCAAAGGCATAATTCATACAAAGCTGCTAGCCTATGATTTTTTCTCTGGCATTTTATTTACAGGAATAAATATGATCAATCACGAAAGATATTCATGAATAATCTTTAGCCCTTCCTTGACCTTTATCTTACCGTGTCAAGAACAGAAATAATCTATCAAACTTACGAGAGCCAGCATTATTAACTAAACAATCTATTCGACCATATTTCTCTACTGTTTTATCTATTAAATTCTGAAATAAAATTTATATAGATAAGTTAAGTAAATTAAATAATTCTATAAATAAGCATTTTGTGATTCTTTTAAATAGCTTTAAGAGAGAGATACTGGTAGGTCAAACTATAAATAACATAAAAATTTGACAATTAGATTTTGTTATTAAATATAGATATTCATCGATTTGAAAAAGTGCACAATTTAGTGAACTGTACATCTTTAAAGACATTTTCCTGGTAAATTTAATTTTTTAACGCACCAACCTTAATTTCACTTTCTTTTGTAACATCACAAGCAATGAAAGTAGCTTCACCAATACCAAGACCATTTAGTTCCTTTTCTACAGCTTTACCCTCAGACTCTAAAAAATAATTGGCTTCTAATGGAATTTAGAGAACAGTGGAAATGATGAAACCTGCATGGATTTTTTTTTTAGCTGAGATATCATTCACTTGTTATAGCTTAAATTTTTTTTATGATTTTGTTTTTTAATGATTGTATCAACAAAAAAGGTTGCAAAACAATTTTCATACCTGATGCGATTGTTTCTATTAAAAACAATGTAAATCAATTCTCATGCATGGTGTGGTAGTGTCAACTAAAATTGGGTACAAATCAATTATCATACATGATGTGAGTGTGTCACTAAAACAAAGTGTAAATTAATTTTCATACACGATTGGGTCAAGTAAAACAAGGTGCAAATAAATGTTCATACATGATGTGATTGTGTCCCCTAAAACAGGGTGTCAACCAATTGTCATACCTGATGCGATTGTGTCAAAAACAAGGTATGTAAATCAGTTTTCATACATGATGTGATTGTGTCAACTAAGTAAGGTGTAAATCAATTTTCATACATGATGTGATTGTGCCAACTAAGTAGGGTGTAAATCAATTTTCATACATGATGTGATTGTGTCAACTAAGTAAGGTGTAAATCAATTTTCATACATGATCTGATTGTGTCAACTAAGTAAGCTGTAAATCAATTTTCATACATGATGTGATTGTGTCAACTAAGTAAGGTGTAAATCAATTTTCATACATGATGTGATTGTGTCAACTAAGTAAGCTGTAAATCAATTTTCATACATGATGTGATTGTGTCAACTAAGTAAGGTGTAAATCAATTTTCATACATGATGTGATTGTGTCAACTAAGTAAGGTGTAAATCAATTTTCATACATGATGTGATTGTGTCAACTAAGTAAGGTGTAAATCAATTTTCATACATGATGTGATTGTGTCAACTAAGTAAGGTGTAAATCAATTTTCATACATGATGTGATTGTGTCAACTAAGTAAGGTGTAAATCAATTTTCATACATGATGTGATTGTGTCAACTAAGTAAGGTGTAAATCAATTTTCATACATGATGCGATTGTGCCAACTAAGTAGGGTGTAAATCAATTTTCATACATGATGTGATTGTGTCAACCAAGTAAGGTGTAAATCAATTTTCATACATGATCTGATTGTGTCAACTAAGTAAGGTGTAAATCAATTTTCATACATGATGTGATTGTGTCAACTAAGTAAGGTGTAAATCAATTTTCATACATGATGTGATTGTGTCAACTAAGTAAGCTGTAAATCAATTTTCATACATGATGTGATTGTGTCAACTAAGTAAGGTGTAAATCAATTTTCATACATGCTGTGATTGTGTCAACTAAGTAAGGTGTAAATCAATTTTCATACATGATGTGATTGTGTCAACTAAGTAAGGTGTAAATTAATTTTCATACATGATGTGATTGTGTCAACTAAGTAAAGCGTAAATCAATTTTCATACACGATGTGATTGTGCCAACTAAGTAAGGTGTAAATCAATTTTCATACATGATGTGATTGTGTCAACTAAGTAAGGTGTAAATCAATTTTCATACATGATGTGATTGTGTCAACTAAGTAAGGTGTAAATCAATTTTCATACATGATGTAATTGTGTCAAAAATCATTGGATGAACTAAAAAAGGGTGTAATACATGATGTATGTAGGGAATAAATCAATTTTTCATACATAATATGATTCCATCAACTAAAATTGGATGTAAATCAATAGTGATTGTGTGAATTTACAGAGATTTCTCATGAAGGCAACATTGCTGTTACATTGAAGACGGGAGATTCTTATGCTGAGGTGGACAAGGAAAGACTAAATAATTGGTAATTACATCAGACATAACTAAATACAAAACAAGCAAAAAGCATGCAACTTACCATCTACTGTAATAATATTGATAAAAAAAATATTTAGTAGGGAAGTAGTCTGAAAATATTTCTATATCGCTCTACAATTGATGTATTGAACTCTATTTTAACAGTAAAACATTTTATTTTGGTAATATGTTGTTAACAAGGTATAAAAATACAGTAGGCCTTCAAAGTTTTAAGGAATTATTAAAACCATTTTCTCCTCTTTTGGAGCACTTTTGGCATAAATTAAAGATATCTGAGATTATTATTCTCATGTTTTCAATATAAAAATGAAACAAACAGAAAATGTTTGCTCTAATAAAAGCTAAGTCCACCATTTACTATCAAATACTATGAAGATGACAACATAAGAAATGAGTTAAATGTTTCTGACCGGAATTATGTAAAATAAAGAGTTTGTTATAATTATAAATATTAAAAAGGTCTTGACATAAAAGCCTGATATTCGGTATATCATTAGACTATCAAGGTCATAAACAAAATATCTCTAGTTATCACTTTATTGATAATTTATTGATAAAATTGTACTTGCCATGGTCGCTGGCAGATAAACATGAAGAAAACCCAAGAAAAGGTCCATTAAAATTAAAAATTCTTTTAATTTGTTTCAAGACATTCGTGATTCAGTGTCAATCCAACAGGGATTATTGGAGACAATGGTGCCCACTGTACAGCATCTGATGCTTACCACATCAATGCCAACCTAAACATGCTTTGAGCTAATTTTCTGTTGCATAGCAGTTCAACTTGCCAGGGCTATTAAGTCAAGACTCTTGACCTGTGCTGGGATTGATACCCAGGCTTTCAGGTTATAGAAAGAGCACCTGAGTTACTATTACCTTCTATTGTGAGTGTTAATTATATCATGTGATGACTTATTGTCATATTGTTAATTCACTATTTCAAACAAATATTTTAACATACATACCATTTCTAGCACAAAATACAACTTTAGAACCATTTTTAACTGAAATAAAAATGAAATTGTATATAATAAATTTTGCTCACTATTGGGTAAATGCACAGTTAGAGTCAGGTGTTCCATTAGAGAAATTTTGGCAAGGACAGCAGATTAACAATACCTAATATATTTTCAACTTTCAGTTTATATGTCCCATCCAAATAAAAAGAGTCTAAACACCTTTCCAATTTAGTCTCACTATCATGCATCATTGGACACAGGGACAGCGAAGGTGAAATTTTTAGGAATGAATTAAATAGCTTCAAATGCTTTTATAATTTGGGCGTATATTGTTAAATATATACTAATAAAGTTTTCTGGGCTATCACAGACATGATTTTTAACTGGGATGGTTACTTTAAATACAAGGAGAAACCATGAACTTTATCTGTGAACTGGTGTCACCTTTATAATCAACAACAACCTTGGTTGCTTAGTTCATATCACAATTTGTTTTATTTCGAACTGATAATGTTTTAAAAACTACTGTCTTTGTTAAGTTCATGTTCAAGTTAAGAATGTTGTAATTAAAATTGAATATGAAGCAGGCCACATACTACATAATTTTCCCTACAATCGTGCTAAGACATCGTAGAGCAATCATGTTGAATCATATCGCAGGCTATCATGCTATCCATCCCCTCAGACTACACGACATATAAAGCGATGTCGGAAGCCAAAGTTGACAAAATTGGATTCCTCGGACGTCTTGATTTGGCTTGTGGGGTTTTTGATTATCCATTCACATAAGAAAAGACAAGCTGAGAAACGGATTTGGATAGGACCCTGGTTTGCAAGAAGAGTGTTGGGCCTTCTTTTAATGCAGGAACTTGAGTATGAAGACATCCCTCGATATGTCTCATTCCAACTTGTGCACTTTGCCATATTCCAGGAATTGCTTGACAAGGTTTTCCCACTTCTGCAGAAGCAGAATACCAACGTAAGGTCACGTATTCTCTTATATCATAAAGCTCCCACAATATGGTTATAAGCCTATATATTCACTTTTTCATATTGTGTACCAGGGTTATAATAAGCTCACCCCTTTTCCTAAAATAAACAGAGAACAGACCCTAAAAAGTTATGTCATTTTAATAATAAATTCTTTATTACTTAAACAATTATGCAAAAGGGCCTTTTAAAAATTGTGTCTAAACATTAACTGAACAATATAACATAACACTATAATAGTATATACACAATTATAGGCCCTAGAATCAATCTTCCACTATATAAATACATGTATAGACTATTTTGTAGATTTTGTATAAGGTCTTCTATACAAAAGCACTGGACTAAAATCAAATGAAACTCAAAGATGGTTAAATACAGAGCCCCTAAGGCGTAATTTTCCATACTTTTATAAATTATTTCGTTTTAACGTTATTCGTCTAAACGAAATAATTAATTCGTTTAAATGAAATAATTAATTCGTTTCACCGAAAACAAATTTCGTTTACAAAAAAATATATGATTTTATTTTTTTTTTATACAAATTTTTTTTTCTTGTAACAAAATACTTAAACGAAATAAGGTATTTGATTAAACAAAATAATTATTTCATTTGAATGAAATAATTAATTCGTTTAAATGAAATAATTAATTCGTTTAAATGAAATAATTAATTCGTTTCACCGAAAACAAATTTCGTTTACAAAAAAATATATGATTTTATTTTTTTTTTATACAAATTTTTTTTTCTTGTAACAAAATACTTAAACGAAATAAGGTATTTGATTAAACAAAATAATTATTTCATTTGAATGAAATAATTAATTCGTTTAAATGAAATAATTAATTCGTTTAAATGAAATAATTAATTTGTTAAAATGAAATAGGTGTGGCGATTGGAAATATTCATAATTTTTGATTTATAATTTATCAGAGATAATTTATAATTTACCAAATTCATAGAAAGTTTAAATTGATGTTTGAATGATTTACAAGATGAATGAAATTAAGTTTTATAAAAGATCATTTGGGGTTTTTTGGTTTAATATCTTATTAGGAACATATTTAGTGTGATCAGACTTTTGTATGATTTAAGATAACTGCAAAGAGTTAAAATGATGGAACATTTTCGATCTTACAATTCTTAATGGTAATATCAAGACATAATAAATTCTTAGCAGAGGCATAAATGGTAGTATCATCAGCAAAGAGGTCACAAATTCAAAATCAAGGGTAATTCATATAAAAAGATATTAAAGAGTGTTGGGCCAAGGAGAGAGCCTTGTGGAGCACCATACTGAATGGAACGGGGAGATGAAAGTTTCATCAAATGTCGTATTCTATTTTCAAGAAAGTTTTTTTTATACAGAGATCGTGGTTAACTAGGTCAAAGGCTTTCTTCAAATCAAGGAAAATACACCCTTAGATACTGTTATAGCCTAGATATGTTCTTCAGAAAAAAACACACACTTTATCAATATCAATTTTCAGAATCAAAATCTTCTTTTCCTGCTATGAAAATGGCACTCAATTAACATAATACTTGACTGAGTCGAAGAATTCTCCGCTTTTAGTCTTATAAAGTTTTAATGCTAATCACTCACCAAATACTTGAACGACACCCAGCCCAATGCCTTTAGATCCGCCGGTGACAATCGTTACTTTATCTTCATATCGCAGTCCACTACCTTCTGCCATTTTTTAAAACTCTGAGTATCTTGTGGACACAATCAGCTGATATGATTGCCTTTTCTACTCTACTTCGAACTTTTGTATATACACGTGACTTACAGGTCATGTTGGGGTCATGATGCTATATTTAGTTCAAGGTAGATAACTAGCTTTATTAATTTCAGACTACTATTAACTTTTATTTAAAGTGACAGTCTTTAAATGCAGCACGTTCCTCTGATTTTTATAGTCTACAAAAGATATTTGTGCACATCAGGGGACAATTCCAAACTTCAACATGAGAGGTTCAATTCTGTTTTGGTTTGGTAATGTACTAATAAGGCCAAAGTATGGCTCTTGACATGTTATGAATAGTCTCAAAATGTGAACGATTATTTTTGCCAGACTTTATCTTATTGTGCCTTTTTACATTCTGATATCTGATACCTGACCTTATTTTGTCATTGTCCCTGTATTCTATTTATGTTCTAGTATTATAAGATTTATCGAGATTTTAATATGCAGGAAATGAAATGGAGTTTTATTTCACTGCTCTTGCATATATCTGTCTAGACCGGGGTTCTTTTTATATGCCTCACTTGAGAAGAGAGAAGTTTATTATTCCATCTAAACCCCCAGACACACACCAGACGAATCGGGATAAAATATATTAACGTATGCATAATTACTTCTACTTTATGCATTCCATGTATATTTATCATGTGTTAGATAGCAGACTCTGCACCTTCTAAGCAGACAATTTATAATAGGTTAATTCATTTATTTGTATCAAGCGCAGATTTTAGAATTCATTATAAGAATACGCTATGTAGTAGGCCTAAAATCTGGGATGGGATGGCATGGCTTCAAAATACACTACTAAAGAAGGTCTGGGATATCTTGGTTTGGCTATAGGATACATTAATACGGACGAAGATATCATGGCTACAGAATACACTTATTTTTATTAAGAGCTGCGATAACTTGGCTACACTATACGTTTTAAAGTAAGATCAAGAATATCTTGGTTACAGTATGCGTTTTTAAGTAAGATCAGGGATATCTTGGCTACAGTATACGGTTTAAAGTAAGATCAAGGATACCTTGGCTACAGAATAAACTACCAAGCAATGGCTGAGATACCTAGGCTACAGATAATCCTATTAAGCAAGATTTTGAGATATCCGATATCTTGGCTACAAAATAACCTATGAAGCAAAAGTTGGAACATCTTGGGTAGATAATAAACTATTAGAAATTAAATAAAATGAAAGGAATGTAGTTTTAAACGTCCTACTTTTCTGCACCATGTGGGCTAATGCAGATGGTCAGCGCCACGCAGGGTTGCAATGAGGAAATTTTGCTGCGGCATTAGCCTGCTCTTTTTCGATTTCCAACTGTCGATGGTCAGCGCCACGCTGGGTTGCAATGAGGAAATTTTGCTGCGGCATTAGCCTGCTCTTTTTCGATAGCACACAGGACCTCGGTTTATTGTTCCATCCGAACGAATAGACGCCTTGTCCAAGTCAGCCCCTCTTACAATATAAACTATTAGAAGTGACGGCTGTGGTATCTTGGCTACAGAATACAATGTAATGTTATGCTAATAATATTCATTTGAAATTATGATCAAAATTGAAATAATACAAATTAATTGTGATCATGTGTGAACATTTAGACCAAGTTCAATATGCTGATAAAAAACTATTAAAAAAGTAAATATAATGTTTGTAACATATTGGACTGAATTAATTCCTTTTGATCGTGGTCATTCAATATTTCAAAAGTTTTTCTCAAATGAGTATAAATATGAGTGGAATAATAGAGTTCCACAGTTCCATCTTACACCTCGTATGTATATTTGAATCTTAACTAACTAGTTTAGGAGAACAAATAAAGTAGTTTGTAAAGAACTCTTCATATATAAACGGGAGCTGGGACGCTAGAACAATATACACTGAAAATACAAACATACAAGTTGAATAAAGTCAGAGAAGAAAGTACCCAAGAATTACTTACTCTAATAATAGAAGGACTGAAGTGTCGTTCATTGCAACTGCACTAGACCTCTACGTGAAAAGTGACATTCTTTTCGGTTTGTATCTAAAAGCCTGATTTGAACTCATGAAGTCCCAAGCCGGGTTAATGAAACAACGGGGTGGTTAGATGTACCGCAGCAACGCGCGTCCTAGAACAATATAACAGTCGAACTACTGGTATATAGAGGGCATATTAAAGCAGCCCAGCGGAAACCCTCTCTGACTATGTAATAGTGTATATAGTTGGTCTATATATGTTGTATGGTGTATGTTGCTCAGTTGGTGTATGTTGCTCAGTTGGTGTATGTCCTTGTGTTTGTTTATATGTACTGAGTTGTTTTTAATTGAATTTTGTCTTAGTCATTAGGGTTCATTGGTTGTCATTTATGTTCATTTTGTTACCTCAGTGTCACACAGTTGTTCAGTTTGAGTCAAACAGGAAAGATAGGAAATTTAATATTTTATAATAAGGAAACTTCTAGGACTTAGGGTAATTATTTATTTATTTATTTATTCATTACTTTTCCTGTATATAATATTATTACTTGTTTCACTTATTCACCTAATTGTAAATATATTTCAGAGTTTTGTTCACTTGAACGGTTAAAGAGTTTCTACAAACAGAATTATGAAGTTATCAAATGACGTCTGTAAATAAACTTGTATATATAAAGCTAGTCTATTAATATATCCTCTTCCAAAGAAAGATCCCCGTTACATAATTGGCGCCCAACGTGGGGCTGGATTGGAATTTCGGTAATTTGGAATTGAATTGAAATTGATTTTCATTGAAGTGAATGTTCGCTGGATTTAATTTATATTGGATTGATTTTTTGTGTCTTTTCGCGTGTTGGTGTCGGTAATAACAGGCCTGCAACGTTTTTGGTGACTATTTTGTGACTTTCAATGCAATTTTTTGTTTGTCTTTGATGTGTGAATGTGTTTGAATACCTGGGGACGCCTAGGTTTTGTTTATTTTGTATCATTATTTTTTTTGCATTTTCAATAATATTCTGTAACTTTATCTGTGAATTGTGATAATATAATATATATTTGTATGTTTATTTAAAAAACTATGTATTGCTATATTTATGTCATTGGTTTATAGTGCTATATTTGTAAATAAGTATTGTAAGTAAGTTATGATAATTGGTGTTTCAGGGTCGATGTTTAATGCTATCTTATTGGTTATTTGTAGTTTATTTGTAGTTTTGATGATGGCAGAGGGAGGTGATAGTACAGTTGATGAGTTGGTAGTTCAGTTTCAGACGATGTTATCTGGGTTAAGTCCTGCTAATAGAGATCGAGTTATTTTGTCATTGATTCCAACAGAGTCAGAGGTAAAGTTTCAGTCGTCGGTGCCCGCATTTTGCCCTAAACCTAATAGTGTTTCGGGGAATACTCAAGTTTCTGTTTCAGATACCTCATGCGGGACTAATAAGTATAATATATCCCCTTTACCGTTAAATTATTCAACGCCTTCAGACACTAAAACGAATACTGTTTCGTTTAGTTCCCCTCCACACCCGTCACCAGCACCACAACCACAACCCTATTTTAGTAGATCAACAGTTTCAAATCATACGTATTTCCCTCAATCACAAACACAATGGAATAATCATCAAACACCATTAG